AAGTACGCTGCTTAGGAGGCATGTCTCTCAGCCGCCGCAACTGTCCAGATGCCATGAAGTAACTGGAAGGTGACATTGCCCTAATTACAGTATCGAACCATACCGCCGGATGACCATTTGTAAGTACTGTAGGTAATATAGCATGCCTGTCTGCTGCTATCTGACTCCCGTCCCTTCCACGATATCGATCTGGATCCGTCGGTGAAGGACTACCGCAGGGTGTCAGCTACGTCTGTATTCCATTGTCCAGTACATAGGACGATTGTGTAGTGACCTCATGTACTATATACGCAACTGGAGATATCTATAGATTACTAGGCTTGAGTCATATTTGAAGTTGAAGAAGCATTCAGCTTGTCTTCCAATAGTCACTCTATTATACAGTTCCAACAGATCTAATAAATATATTTTCAATCACAGAATTCGTGGATCAGCTTTTCGAAAACTCTGCTCATCCTTTGGAGACTGTCGACCTCCACCCATTCCTCCTTGCTGTGTAGTCCGGCTCCTGATGGACCGTACACGATTGCAGGGACTCCCACTTCACTCAATAGAGCCGCGTCGCACCAGAATGGTACGCTGACGACTTCCGGACGGGCGTCCAGTACCTCAGTGGCGCATGCTATAGTCTTTTGGACTAGAGGGTGGTCCGCTGAGAGCTTCTGTGTCGGTCGCGAAACAGTGAGGCGCGGCGGAGCATATCGGAAGCGAGGCTTCTCCTTTGCAATATCACTTAGCAGGGCATTCATATCCTGAAGAATAGACTCGTTAGATTGGGCAGGTATTGTACGGTACTCGATGGTGATGGTGCAACGCTCTGGATACGAGGAAGGTTCCTGGCCTCCCTTGATCAGCCCACAATGTAGAGAGGCCTGTCCTAGGGTATCATCGATGGGCAGTCGCTTCTGATACTGCTCCAGAGATTGCAGGAACCAGCCCGCATGAAGGATCGCGTCTTCTCCCGCTTGAGGATCCGAGCCGTGCGCGGCAACACCCAGAATGTCCACTTCCACCCAGACGAACCCTTTATGCGCAATTGCAATCGCCCCCATGGTGGGCTCAGGAACCACTGCAGCATCGGCACGCCATCCTGCGGCAACAACATCGCGAGTTCCCTGGGAAGCATCTTCCTCATCGGATACAGCTGTCACAATGACATCCCCACGAAGGGTGCGACCGCTGGCTTTGATCGCTGCGAGCGCTGCCAGAGCAGCAGCCAGTCCACCCTTCATGTCCAGACTACCTCGTCCGAAAATGACTGGCTTGCCCTGCTTCTCGCCCAATTGACCAGACAACGGGTCGTGCTCGTAGCTAGTCAAACTGACAGTGTCTATATGACCGTTGAACATCAATGACTGACCGCCGCCTCTCCCACGCAATACCCCGACGATGGATGGCCGACCGGCAACCGGCTCGACACGATGGTACTCTATCCCTCGATGGGCGAACCAAGCAGCGAGATAGTCGGCTATCTCGGTCTCTCCTACACCGTCAGCCACAGAGAGTGTAGGGTTGGATGAGTCGATTTGTGTCAGGGCTTGCGTCAAACCCACAGCGTCCTCGACGGCCACATCGCGCGGAACAGGGTATGGACGGGCACCTTCGGTGCAGAGCAGTACCACCACAGCGTCCCTATGCAGGAGTGATGCGGCCTGGCCTGATGCTTTCAACCGCCGGATGGCAGCCAAGGATGCTCCGCCACAAGGACCAGCGCGTACGTTATGAGATGCCAGATACTCAACCGCGCAGTGACTCTCATACGATGAAACCGTGACTGCCGCATCAACTACTCGCTGCAGATCGGGCCACGCGGTGGCTGACACCGTGCCACAATTCATTCCATTCATGATCGTTTCCGAAGACTTGACTGTGACCATTTTGCCAGCCTGGAGGCTGGAGATCAGACACGGTCCGCTGTCCGGCTCAACAGCCACAACAGCTATCGGGGTAGTCCGAGACTTGCAGTGTCTGACTACGGCATGCCCCAGGCTTCCAACTCCCACAGGGGTAACAGTCAAGGTGCTTTGCAGACCAAGCTGGCTTAGCTGTTCATCGATCTCCGTCATCATTGTCGAGTAACCCTCCACAATCCAGGCTGGGACCTCTTCGTATCCATCGAATGCAGTGTCTTGGACCAGTAGTCCACCGTCGTTCCGCGATGCGACCCATGCCTCTTGGACTGCTTGATCATAGTCGCCATCGCTGATGACCACCTTAGCGCCCTCAGATGCTATCCGGTTACGCGTCTCCTCATCCATGGACGCGGGGACGAAGATTCGCGCGGTTACTCCGAGATGTCTTGCCATAAAGGCGACCGCTCGTCCATGGTTTCCTTCGGTAGCTGCAAAGAGAGTGACTGGGCTTTCCTTGAGGCGCTGCTTCACATCTTCAAGAGCAACAGTCGGTGGTAGTCCCAGATGTGACACCACAGCGCGATAGCAACCCCATGATGCGCCCAAAACCTTAAAGGAAGGTAGTCCGAAGCGGTTGCTCTCGTCTTTGACGAAAACCGCCTTGACTCCTAAGTCGGCTGCAATTTCAGAGAGAGAGACCAATGGCGTTGGGCGGTAATCAGGGAGAGAGTGATGGAAATGCTTGAGGCCTTGGATGTTCGAGAAATCGCAGCGCTCGTCGGCCGCCGAAGGATTCAGGTGTATTGGGCGACGAGACATCTTGCCAGGGGGAAGGTGGTTGCAATAATTAGGCAGTGTGTGCATGGACCTATGATTAATACTTCGTATATATAGATTGAATATTTTGGGCGGTCTTGCCGGTGGGTCTCTTTGCCTTCTCACGACAGAGCGCGCCTTCTACGAACATTCCTGGGAGTGGGGAATAACGGCACAGAAGGAAGAAAGGCAAACTGAAATAAAAAACTGGGGATATAATGTTCTCTGGCGAGTCACCCTTGCCGGCCATTCTGAATATTTTGGATATGAACACTTCTAGTTGTGTTGCTTAAAAATCACTGGACTCTATGATAGGCAACGTACCCTTACACCATTCAGTACAGTACTTCAGACTCTAAATTTCAGAGTTTTTATAGAATATGAAAGTCTACTCCTCTGCTAACTGCCTTCATTTCACTCAATTCATCATTTTAAGCGTTTTGCACCTTAGTCTGGTCGTAGTGAACCACAGCCTCCAGCAGGGTTTGAGCACCCAATGCACTATCAGAGTTAGCATCCAACTATGGCGATCATGGACAGCCACTTACCAGTGCTCGGGACTACAGTACTCCGTCGGATGGTGGCTGACGCCATCGCGACAGGGAACAAAAATCATAGCAGTCGGACAGTGATGGCTCGTATACACGCTATCGTGGCCAGCGCCGCTGGATATATTCATCCACTGGTCGGGACCAACAAGGTGATTGGCCGCTGCCTGGATGGATTCGAGACACCCCTGATCAAACTTCACAGCCGGGGAATCGGTGTCCAACGTCCAGTCGAAGGTGACTCCTTTTCCGTCCTGAGCGGCAATGGCAGAGAAGGCCTGCAGACATTCTTCTTGCACTGCATGGACCACGCTATCCTGCGGGTGTCGAATATCAAGGGTGAAGGAAACCTCGGATGCAACCGTATTGGTGGATGCGTTAGAAGGAATCCTGAAAATCCCAGTCGAAGCAAGAGCATTGTGTTTTTGCGCGATGTCATTCGACGCGGCAATCATTCGCGAGGCTGCAAGTAGGGGATCTTGTCGGGCACTCAAGGGCGTCGTGCCTGTGTGTGCATCGCGTCCCTTGACTGTAAAAGTAAACCACCTGTATCCTTGTGCACCCTGAACGACGCCGATGGAGCGTCCTGTCTCTTGTAGAATGGGGCCCTGTTCGATATGGAGCTCAAAATGCGCTGCGAGGGGAGAAGCAACGTGTGAGCACTCGATTTGGCCGAGGAAACCGCGTCTCTCGAGCTCTGATTTTAGTGTGACACTCGAGTCATGTATATCACGCAGATCCCAGGCTTTCTCGATCGGAATGGCTCCAGCCCAAACCCCAGAGGAGCACATTGACTTGGGGAAGCGAGCTCCTTCTTCACTGGGAGTCAGTTAGAAGAAGTACGAGGGGAGAATTGGGAGGTGGGTCGCACTTTGTCCAATTGACAATCCCAACGTCGTAGTTTGTCTGGAATCCGTTCTCTTTCATTGTTCGTAGCACTTCCAGCGCTGCCATCACCCCCAGAATGCCATCGTAACGACCGCCCCGTGGTTGGGTATCAAGATGGCTTCCCATGGCGATCATGGGCGCAGATGTCTGAAACTTGCCTTTCTGGCGTGCAAACATGTTCCCCATCTGGTCTATGGACAGCGAACACCCGAGCTTTTCGACTTCTGCGGCGAACCATCGCCGCACACGGGCATCGTTGTCATCCAGCGTGAGACGAGCCATCCCAGTGTCCGTCGGGTTCCTACTTGTGATGAGTTATACTCTTCAACCGGAAATCGGACAGTTCACGTACTCGCCATGACGATGAGCAGCCCCCCACTGGCAGGTCTCATGTAGCGTTTCCCATAACGTGTTGGCGTTGATCTTGAGTCCTGATCCCTGACATGCTGTCGACAGCCGCCGCGATGTGCATCTTAGGAAATGATGGTTGGCGCGTCTGAAAGACTGCATATTGACTATTTCGTAACTTTCAAACAAGAAAGAGTTGATTCGTGGCCGGTCAGTTGTACAGTTTCGCCGCCGCTTTTATTGTCCTACGCCTTCTGTGGACAGCCGTCGTGGAACGATTCCGGATCACAACCAGATCCGCTTGTAGTGCAAGCTTTTCAAGCGCGCCGGCCGCCTCCTTGAATTAGAGGGAGCGTTTTCCTTTTCTTTTTTTCTATATGGCATGTATGTACACAGAAGGCGCTGGTGGAGACATATTCAAGGGATGGCAAATTGCGGATAACAGCGCCTTCTCCCAACATCATTACACTGGGTCCGGCGGATGCCACGGACACCACCAAACACTCAACTTTGATCTCTAACACCCTCTACACGACAGGAGATTACCTCAAGAGGATTTCTTGCTGTCTTGCTCATAACACCGATCGTCAGATCCTTCAACTTCCTTTACCAACCGCTCCATTTCCTCAACCTGCCGCTGGATCTCGGTCTGCTTGAGCCGTTCTTGCTTGTTGAACAGCTCCCGATTTGGCCTGCGATAGCTTCCTCCAATACGGTCCCAAAGCGTAGTGAACTGCCCGTAGTTGTAGTTGAAATAGTAGTGGTGAATAGTGTGGCAGGCCGATCCATTGATCACTGGTGAATCGAGAGCGTACTCCCCGTCATCTGCGCATTCATTTCAACATAAGCATTCGACTACTTCAAAACCATAGTATCTCAGGAGACTTACGGATCATGACCGTCCAGATGGTTACAAAAACAAACAGACCCAAATATGCCGCCTTCTGCAGTGGAAAGAGAAACGGATAGATGTGGTATGGAAGGCTCTGACTCCAGCCGTCCACAGGGTGGAAGGCATAGCTCGCATAGGGGGTAGAGATGATCCATCTGTGATGCGGCTTGTGCAGGCGTTTGTAAATGGCCGGATGATGGAGTCCTCGATGAATGCAGTAGATTGCAAAGTCGGTAAATGCGATAAAGAGGGGGTACTGTAGGTAGGTGTAGAGGGGGAAGGGACTCTCGTTGGCAAGGTCGTACAGCTTGCTGTGTCCACGCACTTCGGCCAGGAAGAGAGGAGCAGTCAAGGCCGCCATCGCCGGCATTGCGCGCAACGCTTGCCCAATCTCAAGACGGATCTGATGGCGAAGGAATTTGGGGTGTTGCATCGCACGCTTGTCAAAGACCAGAGCGAAGGAGATGGTGGCAGTGGTCAAGTAGAGCAGAAGCCCGAAGCCCCTGAGAAGAAGTCAATAAGCCGGCCAGTTATGGCCCCTGGTCTGAATAGAAACAATCAAGACTAACCAGATCGTGATGAAAAGACTCAAAAACTGCCGGAAAATATAGTCTCGCGACCAGCTACTCTGCACAGCGTACTGAGTTGGCGCGAGGCTGACATATCGATTGATATGGCGGTTGTAATCAAGCAGGGAGTCCTGGTCCAAAAGGATAAATGATTTGGCTGGTAGAAGAAGCGCATATAACTTGTCGAAGACAAAGGTATCCAGAACATCAAGCACGACGTCCATTATGCTGGTATTCGCCGATGCCCAGCAGGAAAACTCTGACACTAAATGAGTGACGGAGGAGTAGTCCTTCAGACATAACATCTGATCGTCCTTTAGCGCAATCGGTAAGTCGGGTTCCGGAGTAGGATGATATCGAGTGACAGAGTGCACAGCTGCCTGCACTACACCATATCAAGGGTGCGCATGCAATTGTTTTGTTCCAACGCATCGAACCATATTTAGTCTACGCAACAAGAGTGCAGGGCCCATTGGGAGCTCATTGTCACCAAAGGTATCCGGGCGAAAAGTGTTGATTTGAGAATTCAAGTCAGCTATCTAAACGATGCATACCTCACTGATTCCCTTGCATCCATACCGAAACAGTAGACAACGTCGTATAAATCATAAAGATAAACCCCAGCACCACCATTGTAAGGTCGCCAAATTTAGCCAAGGAAGAGTCTGCTACCCCCTTCCAGTGCAAGTACGCCGGGTAAATGTAGACCAGAGGAACACAAGCAAATGAGCCGATCAACGAGACAAACTTGTCCAAGTCAGCAGCTCCGACGGCCGACATCACAGCGCAAGCCAGCACGATCAACGATCGGAAGATGTTCTTTTTCCATTTGATCCAAGGGTCTCGCTTGCCCGACACCTGACCGAACAGGTTGCCCTCCATGATCCGAACGGCCGGGAACAGCTGTACCGGAACACCGATCAAGATCGCCAGGGAGTAGAGGAACTGCATAGCATTCACGAACTTGTCTCCCTGGGGAAGATTGTTGATGACTTCGATCTTCGTCTCGGAACCAAAGGCGCCATAGGAAAGAGCGCCGACGGCCGTGAAGAGCACAGTGATGATGATCATGACAGTATAGAGGAGCCTGTCGAATTTCTCCGGGTGTTTCATGGACGATTGAATGGGTAGGATCAGCCCGATTCCTTCGAAAGTGAAGATGCAGGAACCGATGGTCAGGGTAAATGACTTAGGATTGAACAGCTCAACTGACGATTCCAACCCATGTCGGGACGCAATGGTGGCAATATCGTAGTAATAGATGTATGCAAGACCCATGAGGATGAAAATATCCGCGAGGAGCGCCGCTGGTCCGAGTTTGGAAATGTTTCGGATGAATGCCAGCGGCACCAGAACAACTAATTGGAGTGCGATCAGGACGTTGGTGGACAGAACTCTTTCGCTATGTTTAGCTACAGCTGACAAGACCGCCCGAAAGTTGTCCGCAGTGAAGATGATACCCGTGCAGACAAAGCCAAGCTGGGAAATGGTGATGGATCCCAGAATGAGCGATCGCAATCGAGGCCCTGCTATACGCTCACCGATATCACCATAACCGCCCCCATGTCCTTTCCGACACTCCAGCAGAAGATGGAAGCAGAGACTTGTGACCGCCGCGACCGTGACCAGAGCGACCGACGAGAAGAGAATTCCACCGTTGCGAAAGGCCTTGGGCAGGAAGATGATTCCCGTCCCGATGAACGCTTTCAGTAGAGTGAAAAATGTCTTGACCCGAGACGCGTCCCCAGGGCGAGGTGCTCGAGTTGTTCTCCGCCGGCCCAGCAGAGGCCTTCGCTCGGGCTCATGCTCGAGATCTTCCGTTGCAATCGCAGACTCATCCTCCGTCTCCGCCAGATCCTCCCCGGCGAAACTACCATATAGGTCGAGAAAATCGAGGAACGAGCGAGCGACCAGTGCATCGCTGGCCCAGCCCTTTTTCTGTTGTACAAAGTGCCGACGAAAGCTGCCAGGTTCCATGGCAGCCACGCCTTCTTCTACCGCATCATCGGGAGGTCGGGCGGGATAGGAGAAGCTGGCGGCCCGTCTCTCTTGCAGAGCTTGTTTGGCCTTGGCCTCGAGCCGGTAGAGATCGCGATGGACGTCACCACCTAGGAGCTTCAGCGACGACTGTTGTTCGGCATTGTCTGAACTGGAGGATGCTTCAGCTGCAGCACGGGCCTGAAGGGGAGATTCTTCATGAAGCGAGCCGGTGAATTGGGGATGAAGATGTTGTGATAGAATCTCGGCCTCTCGTTGGTCATCTCGGGCGTTGGGCAATGACAGGGACGGGTCTGCCATTGTTAGCGGAAAGAGGATGAAATATTGCTGTCAGAGTAAGATCAGGTTGCGATAGAGTAAGAATTAGGAAATATCCTGAATTTCGAGCGACAAGACAAACAGCCTCATTGTGCAGAATCGATGGAGTGAAGATGCAACGTGCCAGAGTGAAGTCATTCCATTCGACTCTCGGCAGCAACTTGTTKGATCCTGTTATGCCCTGTTTGAGACGGAAGAGGAGACCCAGAGAGGGACCACAGCAATCTCAGGAATCTCGATGGTTCTGCGCCACCCCTGCTGACTCAGCTGCATAGCACAAGTTGCACAATCCGAGCATAAATGCGGGGAACGCGAGAGACACTGCCCCAAATAGGCAATTCATGAATGGTGAGGTCATCGGTCCGATGATGGTCCTTTTAAAAAGTTGTCCATATACCAGAGGTACTCGGACGAGTCAATGTACCGCTCTTCATCTGCACATTTTAATGAGCATATGATTGTCTTAACGGACCATGTCTGAAACCGGCAAGCTACACGACACTTCACAGTCCTCAAGCCGGCGTCGGTCCCAGTCCCTCACGGATCGGGAGACGCACCAGGAGGGAGATGGGCCTCCCAAATGGGAAAAAGCAGGGGATCAGACGTGTGTTCACCCTGTATGCTTCCAAGTGTAGCAGTGGCCGTGTCTAACTACCCTCAGCACGAGCAACCCGGAGCTCTTCGACTTTCTGGCGCGAGTCTCTTCGATAAATGGCCTCGATTCTACTCGCTATATTGGTGGAAAGAATCGAAAAGGCTCCTAAATCAGTCACTGCTGCGATACCCGTCCAGACATTCATTGAATGAATTACAAGTGATTGCGTTCGTTGCTCTGTATCACAGACATTGGGATCTTCTATGTGGCGTGTCTCAACAGATATATAATTGAATTGAACTAGTGGCGCAAGAGGACAAATTTGAAGACAAATAAACAGCTTATCAACATATTTCCCCATAGACCTGGCACATTAATCCTTACAACGGCCATATTTCCTGGCAAAGAGCCTCGGGATTGCTCGCAAGCTTGGCCACTTCATCCTTCGTGGCTTGATCGAGATCTCCGAACCCAGCTTGACCCTGGAGCCAACTGGCATAGCCTTGCAATCGGTCCCGAGCATTGCGAAATCCGCCCCTGTACTTCTCCTCGAAGAACTTGGTGTGGGCCGTCTTGAGGGTCTCGTTCTTGAGGGAACTTGGAAGGTAGATGTTGACATCCTGCTGCATCTTGTCTCTGCTAAACTGTCAACATGGAGCTAACAAAGAAGGGGATTGAGAGAAGACTGACAAAAGACTCTCTATGGCCGCGATGGTGGCCTTCATGCGAGTCCGGATCTCTCCATAATTCATATACTGACAGACGGTGACGATGCGTCCGAGAGAGCACACTCGCTGGTTGATATTCTTCTCAGTCGTCTTGAATTTGGCATCGAGATCATTACCAGCAAACATCTGCCTGGGAGTCAGTCTTTACTGCATTTGCGGTCGACATCCATGAAACTCACAGAATATTTCAAGCCATTTTGTCTGTTGGGGAGAATCGCCATGAGCGTAGACGCCGTATAGACGGTACCCAGATTTTGCATCAACGCCTCCGAGTAGTTGAACGCGACAGTAGGATTGGGTGTGCTGATGTCGCGTTGGATGCCGAAACTGTTCATCGCTCCCTTGCATTTGGTGTTGTCCTGGACGGTGGGATCCTCGATCGTCGCTGGATAATAATTCTTAACCAAATAGTCGATAAAGTCACGGACCCAGTTGCCCTCATAAATATGTTCCGCTACATTTGTTAGTTTTGTCTCTGTGCATCAGGTCAGGGCACTTACAGGCCCATCCTTGTCTTGTCACGGCAGCCCGGTCTTCCTTGGGAACCTCCTTGATATTCCAGGTGCTAGCAGGGCATTGGTTCTGCGGGCTATTACTGCACGTCATTCCCGGCTGCATGATAGGGACGGCAAGATTGTTCCTCAGCCGTGAGGGGCGCTGATACTTTTGCACCCATATCTGCTTCGTGCGACCTTCGTCGCATGCGAAGTAATATGGATCCCGACCCTGGTAAAAGGCGCTGTCTGCATCCCGTCTGGAGAGCGCGACTGAGCTTGTTGTGTCTCTCCGAAGGACGCCCGGAGCGACCCCATCGTCGGGATCCAGAGGGTCGGACTGAGGAATGCAGGTACCGGGAGACTCTTCTGCGGCAGCCAGACAGAGCTCGGGGAACGTGTACAGTGTCGGTGTCTGGTACAGAGTCACGTCCAGGAACACGTCCCGTCCCCCCTCCACCTCTGTGTAGCCCTGCAGCCCCAGACTGGCACCCAGTGTGGCATCCAGCTTGACTCCGTACGGTTTGGTAGGGTCATTGGCGCAGAAGCCGGCTACGTCTGATGACAGAGTCAGTATTCGAAGAGATCTGGGTTAGTTAGAAGCTAACCGTATCCTGCTGCCGCAGTCACTGTAATATCGGGGACTTTGATGCCAACTTCGACGTTCAGCCCATTGTCTGGAACATTCGTCAGCTGCACCATGCATTTAAATCCAAGAAAGGAGGGCGCTGGATACCGAAGACTTCGATGCTGGCCGCCACCGCAACTTCCGTGTAGAGCTGTGCTTTCGCGTGGATCTGTGCCTCAACCTCGAGGGGCTTGGTTTGGATTTCTGGAATCCATCCGGAGATGGTCACCGGGTGCTTGCTGGCCAAATCTACCTTGGCCACCGAGCTATCGGGCACCCTGGCTGAGATTCCTGTAGTGACAGATGCCTCGCCTCCAATGTATTCAATAACGTAACCTGCATTGATCTTGACATTGGGACCGAATGTCAACACCCCCGGAATCCGCCAGCCACTGGGTAATGGCAGCTCCACCAGCGTCCACTCCATACCTGGAGCGGGGAGGCCATCAAAATCAACCTCACCTTTGAACTCCAAGCTCAAGTCCAGATTCGCGGCAATGTTACGAGGTGTAGCGGACAGTTCGAACTTCTCCAACCCATCCCACAGGCTCGCTTCGACGTGGCCGGCGAATGTGAGAGTGCCTGTGGTGCCACAGTTGACACAGTTGATGGCGAGACTGGCATCCACGAATGGGGCGTTATTCATGGTCCAGTTGACAATCTCGGTGGGAAAAGAGGAGCTGAGATCCACGGTAAAGGCCTTGTTCAAGCTGACATCTAGGAACCGCTTGTCGTGGGTGCCCTGATGGCCGAGGACGATATCTCCAAAATCAAGAACAGTCGTGTTGGATACCTTCTGCCATGTACTCTTGGTCGCTGTCAGTTTGGCCGTCGAGGCCTTGTCATCAAAGACAGCGTTGCTGACCACCCAGGGGTCTCGCTGGCGGGGAGTACCGCATCCCTCCCAGCTGGAGACCATTACGAAACTGCGCATGTCGTTGTAATTCACCCACTGCCATGCGAACTTGGCAGCAAGATAGAAGAGCCAGTTTTTGAACTTGAGGGTCATCCCATCGGTGCAGCTGACCGAGTCCAAGGCAAAGGAAATCTTGTCCATGTCCAGGATGCGTTCATCCTGTTTGGACCAAACAACCATGMTCACTGCAGTGACTTCGGTGTTTGATTCTGGCAAGGTCAGTCAGCAGTTCAAGACGGTGGTTTATTAAATACCATTGCCAGAAGCCCACATGAACTGCTCATGGTCCTGTAGTGCCACACTTCCAGCGGGATCATCTCTCTTGTGCAAAGCATCCTTGTCCCAAGCATGTCGATGAAGAGGCTGCAGGTCAATCAGGTTGTTCTCAACAGCAATTGCAGCGCTGAAGAGCCATAATAGGGCAAATGAGACAAGGAATTGCCTCATTTCTGCTGGATTAGGCAATCGGAATTCGAGTTGAGCTGCTGTTGGTCTTGTGTTTCCAGACAGCGGAGCAAGAGGCTTTATATACAATTATCGACTCCACCTCTACGATTGAGTACATATGAGGGATCTTTTACAATGATACTCAAGGTCGGCATTGTGCTTCTTGAGGAAGTTACTCCGGTCTACATTCAGAGTCTGAGGCCATGCATATACGAACTCTGCCGCACCGAGTCGTCAAGAAGTTGTATCTGCCAGCCAATGCCTGTCATCGTTGCGAGATGCGCAGCATGGCTTTTCTGACCAATCTCTTCAGGGAGGCCAATTCACAATGTATAGACGCCTCGCTTGTAGTTCACAAACGGCAGAGAGCACCGTGTCACTTACTTAGACTCCATGGGCACGGCAGAATACGAGTGCTTACAGTCAGCCCAGGACACCGTAGCATTGTTGCAAATTCAGCGCCATCAGATAATGCCCTGTATGTCTTGGCTCTCGTATATCCGAACCCGGTCTCACGGTATGATTTGTGCGTGTTGTTGGATGGCACAAGCTTGGTCGATGGACGGCTGGATGTGGTGGGAAGGCATTGGGATGCTGGAGTCGTAGACCCGGCCATCGTCCGGGGTCATCAGGACCACTGGCCAGACCATCGCCAGCTGCATCAGTGCCGCCTGATTCTTCACCTGCAGATACGATCTGACAGGGGTACAAAAGGCTAATGCTGTTGTACAGATGCGACCAACCCCGCATTCTGCGATTTCCCTGCGGCATACACAAGCCAATGCCGATCTCGATAGCCAGTTTACTAGTCGATTTGAATCAGCCAATGCAACCCTGTCTTTAGCTTAACTGGTCATGACAATCCTAAAAAGGATGATGACCAAACCAGGAGTAGCATCACTGGCGGATAAATGCACCGCGGCACGGAAAAACTTTAATGGCCTCCTATTTCGGGCAGGTATTCCTCCTTACTCTTTCGACCAAACGATGCTATACTTGTCCAGCTTATACGGTGAAATGGATTTGGACAGCCTCATTTTTAATATAGGCGTCTTTATCGCCGGTGTCTTTGTCCTTGATTATGGCGCCGACACGTTCATTGATCACACCGTTATCGTCGGCCGTTCGTTGGGGGTTTCGCAGACAATTATTGCCTTGCTGACGGCAGGAGCGGAGTATGAAGAGGCAAGTTAACTTTGTATTTCCGATCTTTTTATCCCAACTGACGGTTTGATTAGCTCGCCGTGGTGGTTGCTGCCATTCTGCAGCGTCGCACTCCCCTGGCCTTGGGCAACCTCATGGGCTCGAGCATCTCCAACGTGCTGGGCGCGTTTTCACTCGGTCTATTGTTCCATCCGACTCATATTGACTTTGATCGGAGTGCCAAAATATATGCTGCGGTGCTTCTCGCAATTACGACGCTGTTCGTGGTGCTGGCCTTCTTCAACCAGCTGAACAAAATCGTCGGGGGTTTACTGATCGCTTTGTTTGGCATCTATGTTATGTCAATCCTCTATGCCATCTACAAAGGAGTCGCAACAGCACCCGAGCTCTCGGACAGCGATAGTGACGCAGGGTCGACCGATCATGTGGTGGATTCTGTGACTGAAGCGACCCCCTTGATTGAGTCTCAATCAGATCATATCCCAGAACTGTCGACTAGGAGGCTTCTGTACCACGTCACCAAGCTATTTTTTGGCCTCCTCGCACTATCACTAGCTGGGTATCTTCTGGCGCATAGTGCTGTGAGCATCGCCGATTCCTTGCAGCTCTCCGGAACTGTCTTTGGTCTGACCATTGTGTCGTTCGCCACCACCTTGCCTGAGAAGCTGATTGCAGTCCTCAGCGGGTCTCGCGGTCATGTCAACATCATGGCGGCCACTACTGCAGGAAGCAATATCTTCCTCTTGACTCTCTGTGCCGGCGTGGTGGCGCTCGCTGGTGATACAAGGAATCAATCAGACAGGTTTGTCCTGTTCGATCTGATCTCGGTGTGGGTGTCATCCTTGGGCTTCTTCGTCGTGGTTATCTTTGGCCCGGGGAGGATAGCCGGTGTGATATTCCTTGCTGCGTATCTGGCATTTTTAGCGCTTGAGTTTACTGTGTATAGAAGATGAGTATTACTTACACTATCAAAATAAATTCCGGCTGTCGAGGGAGACACAGGTAGGCCCGTTGAACGGAACACTTCTGCGTTCATAGTTCCGTCTCTTGTTCTTTTCTCAATTACGGTCGTGTTTAGGCTCTGGTGGTTGAATGTGGTTGGAATCGTACGAGATAAATAGACTAGAAACATGACAAACCCTGGACCGATGAATACAGGCAACATGCATAAAATAATGCGATTGTAGTATGACCAATTACTATAAGCGAGGATTGTTTCACGGTAAGGTCCATATAGAGCCATCCGATCAAAGCGGGGTTATACGATGCTATCCGAGGTAAGTCATCTTCTCCTCTGAGACCGGCATGTCCCTGTCTCTTGTGCTTTTGCACTTGTCTTTGGAGAAACACGGCACAACTTCACATGCGCACACCGCAATGAGCTGCACAAGACGAGTCTTCCCACTTCGGCAGCCTAAGGGGCATCGTCCGCCCGTTCCGAGATGGATGGCTCAGTTCCCAGCTGATATGGACTGTGTCTTCACCGCATATATTGGGGTGCAACGACATGAGGCCCAAACCGATGAGGGGTCACTGACTGAGAGCGTTAACGCGGCGGTCGAGAGCATACAGAGATGGATGGTCGAGGATGCATCCAGCGCACCTGCATCGATTGAACAATTTCAGGTCCTTGACGGCGACGATGTACCCAGTTCCACAGTTTGGGTGTGCTATTGGAATGATGCGAGCAAATATGAGGACAGTATACGACGCTTGAACCTTGTGAGCATCCACCAGCACCTAAACCCCCCCCATCGACAGTCTGTTGGCTTGTGGTGTGAGCGATTCACCAGCCATCTGTCGCGAGTCGAAACCAACTATTCAGGCCTCGACTATCTGCCGGGACTGGCACGCTTGCCCGGAGTGTCGACTGTGGAACATACGTTGACTGCATATTGGGGGGCTGCCCGCGATCGAATCCCAGCCTCGGCCACAGATCGATTCGTCCAGAATGAAGAACCTGAAAAGACAGAGGTGGCAGCTACCACTACCTCGCAGCGCGAGACGCAAAATTATCACGTAGTGGGCACGAATCCGGACAACCTTGTCCACATCCGCTCGGGTCAATTTTGGGCCAACTGCCCGGAAACCGAGGCCAAGGCATACGAGGAGACGCTGGAGCCTGCTCTGCGATCTGGACTGGCGTATCTATGGGATAATCCCCAGAAAAGTGGCGCTATGGGGCTACGGTATCTCTACAATCGTCCACTCGCTTCTCGGGCACTGGAGAAGACGCGCGAGACTAAAGAGTCTTGCGTGGCCGGATTCTTTCGTAACCTTGCAGACCTCGAACACTGGGCCAAGTCGCATCCCTCCCACTTGGCCATCTATACTGGAGCCATAAAGCATGCAAAGAAGTTTGGAGACCAGCGCAAGTTCCGCACCTGGCACGAAGTTTCAGTACTGAAACGTGGCGAGGCACAGTTCGAGTACGTCAACTGCATGGGCAGAACAGGTGTTATGCAGGGATGTCACTTGAACGTCTATAGCTCCTAAAGTTGTGAATTTAGAAAACGCCATATCACCCGTAGAGCGATCTGGTAGAACCATCTGCAAGCACGGGTTGGCTGAGAAGATACGTACCTTACTTTAAAGATCTACACCAAGTCTGTTGCCAGATGGCGCCACTGTCTGAACGTTTGCATGGCAAGTCGCTAGGTCATTTCCTGTCATATGGACTCCTGATGACTTTCTCCCCGACACAGTAGCCCTCACAGGTGCATGTACCTCGACGGAACACTATTTTGGGCGTCCTTGAAGTCACAATACAAATGAGTATAACGACTGATAGAATCTCCGCAACGAAGACCGAAACATGTCAAATGGCATTTCATCCAGGTCGCAAACCCTGCCGTCCTCAGCGCAGCAGAGATCTTCTCAAACCAAATCATTTAGAGCTCTCCTCCTCCATTCAGTCGATAGGGAATTACTATTTACTGTTGAGCTTGTTCTTTTCCCTCCAAACAATCTGACCTTTGCATCTGACAGGCCTCCGCGGGCTTCATATGCATTTTCACATGTGCAACCCCGCCTCATCACTTCGAGGACTAAATGATGGACCAGGAGAACCGGTATTTCTCTAATATATAATTGGCAGACCCCAGAATATCATATTTGGCCTTTTTTCGAGTGCTGATCGCATTTCCGGTGTAGTATCAGATGCGCTGGATACATATGCCCGAATCCCCTTCCTCGGTCCGGCAATGTCTTTCATGCCCTACGATATCATACAACAACATCTTGTCATTGACTCACTACCGATTCAGATACATTTCCTGATACAAAGTCATGGCTCAGGTCCAGGACGGAACTGCTCAGCTAACGGAGGCAGCGAAGTCGTACGAATCTCTACACATCTACGACACGATTGCCGAACCCACAGACCTACAGACATTCCTGATGGAAGATATTTATCTCCTCGGAGGCCAGTTCGCTATCCTATGTCAGTTTGCCCATCCTGCTCTGGCCAAAGGTAGCTACGACCATTCCAGCTTCGCCACTCGCATCCCCAACCGTCTCCGGAATACCGCCCGTTTCATCAATGCGGCCGTCTTTGGCACTCGGCAGGAGAAGGCCGCTATCTTCTCCGTCATCCATCGCTATCATGCCCGAGTCAAGGCGGAAGACTACGATGCAAATGACCCGGAGCTGCACAAGTGGACCGCTGCTACCCTGTTCGTCGCCATCGTAGTCGTCCACGAGACCTTCTTTGGGAAGCTATCCAGAAACAAGCTGGAAGCACTTTACCAACAATCTGCGGTATTTGGCACTTCCCTGCGGATGCCTTCCGAGATGTGGCCAGCCACTCTTGACAAATTCTGGGAGTACTGGGACCACAATATCGAGACACTGGAGGTCACCGTTATGGCACGGAAGCTGAGTCGCGATCTGCTCTATCCGGTCCACCTCCCTCTGTGGATGAGAGCCATGGCCCCATTGTCGCGCCTTTTGACTATCCATTTTCTCCCGGAAAGACTGGCCAAGGAGTACGATCTGCAACCGACCGTACTAAGCCGGATCCAGTTTCAGACCACTGTTCGTGTCATGCGCATTGCATACCCCAGCATACCGCAACACCTGCGACAAACACTACATAGGCAATACATGGAAGATCTCGCGAAGGCAGTGGACAGAATCAAGCAGACTGGACACTGGGCGGGAGTATAGCAGGGGATTGGAGAATTCAAGGAGTGTTATTGAATGATATTGTTCCGACTTATCGGTAGGCTAGAGTAAGAGAACGCCATTCCATTATTTCTCTCGAACGATAGCCCTATCTCTCTTTATACCGCCTGCATTGAATCGGGTTTCATGGAACTCCGAGTGTAGTAGCCTCTGTATCATAGAACGGGTACACAGAAGTATATTCAGTCCATTTCCGTCCAGTATTGTGTATATGACCTTCCTTAAAAGCTATTAATACAGATCCACACTCAATAGCCCTTTCCAAGGTTTACATCATCGCCACCACCATACCACAGCCGACCTCTACGAATAACCAAGCCTTTTCCCTGGCCAACCAGCCACTCTCCGCCAGCCTTGATTGTTCCATTCTCACTAAGCCAATATTCTTCCTGCAGCTTCTGGTTAATTTCGTCAATCTTATCAATCAGTTCTTTGACCTTCGAAGGGTCAACATGTCCCTCTCCCACTGCAGCTCCTTCTTTGGTGAAGCCGTCCTGAGTGACGAACCTTGCAATGGTGAGATGGGCTGAAGGAACAATGTACCGGGATGCAACCGGGATACCAGCCGCTCGAACCATGTCGAAGATATCGCGACGAAGATGATGATAACTGTAGGTCTCGTCTTCAATAGTGCGTTGCGCATCTGAAGCTTCTCCAGCAGCGGGGACAAAGGTCAGTGCCATGGCTGCAGAGTCAAAGCCCACCATGGGCTTTACAAGGCGCGTTCGATGTGCGAACGCATAGTCGGCAATTTCCGACGTGGTTACGCCCTGCGATGACTGCAGAGTATTTACGAGACTCTCGATCTGCTCTTCGGTCAAAGAATGGGCTATTTCCAGTACTGTTGTATGTAGATTCGCGGAGGGCATGAGCCAGAGGGCTGTCGGAACATGGTGAGCGCCTTACCTCCTAGCCGCGACAAAGGGTTGTGAAGTGTAAGACTTACTCGGAGCAACGCTTCTGAGTTCGCTTTGCACGTACTTTATAAGATCACGAATTGGTGAAGACGGCCGGGCCCAGATGACCAGGCAGTTACGAGGATCAATAAATCCCGCTTCCTTTGCGGGGCCGTCAAGGCGCATTAAAATCTCGTCAAGGTTCCACCCTGCGAAGTCTGGTGCCAGTATCTTCGCAGCTTGCTGTGCATTTCGATTTACTCGGTGATTCTCGTAGCGGGACTGCAACTGAGCCTGATAAGAGGCTTAACGCTGGGCTCTCACCCGAAACCCTTTGAATATTACTCACCGCATCATTATTCGTCTCAGTAATCAAAGTCTGGAATGGATTGTCCTGGGATATCAGAAGCGCCGACATTTTATAACAATTGGAAGATAATGCAGGCTTAAGATGCCAATACTGAGAACGGAACTGCTCTATACAAAAGATAATGGCAGAGTAGGATGATTTTGAAGTGAGTCATATTGAAACTGTGGCTGGCGCCAGACGCGTGGTACAATCCTGTCTAATCTGGTACTCGCGACACGAGGAAGACGGATGAAACGACCTAAATGCCAAAGCAGTTAGACATTATATAAAATACCATGACCGTCAGACCGCTAAGGGCAAAGTTAGAATCGATAGGGGACAACTTTTATAAACAGGTCACTGTGGGTGGAGCTTATAAGAAGCATATTAGGCCAAAATCCCACAAACAGCAAAACCATACACGATGGGAATCTATCGCAGAGCATTGTGGTCTTACTATATAAAACGTATCACGAAGATGGAGAGCAGGCTTGCCGGATAAGATCTTAACCAGTCCGGCTCGGCGTATTCGGACCTCTTGCCTAATGGAGTAAAACAGCTTGAAGCTCGGAGATATGATGCTCGGGATTGGCAACTGCCGCCAGCAGGAAGTGGGATGATCAGATAACGCTTATCAATCAGTCGTGCCTCTGCCCTGTTGATCCGGGTGTGCATCCGATCCTCCAATGCCGATATATAAATGCACATTCCCAGGGTCGGGGGTCATATCCTCATTCTCTTCATTCTCTACTTTATACACTAATTCATATGCTCCAAAGAACGTCAGATCAAAATGGCAGCCCCTCTGAAGAATATCATTGTCGTGGGAGGATCATATGTGGGAAGGGTACGCCCTTTCACCCAAAGTCGTAGAATGGATGGCATACTGACAAGTTGTATTAAGGCCACTGCCCAAGAGCTGGCACGAGTCATCCCAGAAACACATCGGGTACTTGTAATCCATCACGTCTTGACTACACATGTTAATTCTCTACAGGTCCTCCTGATTGAACCGCATAGCCATTTTCACCATCTCTTTGCTTTTGTAAGATTTATTCTTTCATATTCCGATGTCGCTAACCTGTTCATCTCAGCCGCGTTTCGCCATTGTACCCGGTCAAGAACATAAAGCTTTCATCCCATACAGCGGAATCTTCTCCTCTGTTCCCCGTCCGTCCACACATGCAGTGGTCCAAGCGAGAGTACTTTCGGTAAACCCACGATTTGTGACGCTGGATCGCCAGTGGCAGGATTCCAAACAAATCCCATACGAGTATCTAGCCATTGCCACTGGAACTCGGCTCGCTCAGCCGGCGGGCATGAAAGACGACGACAAGGTGTCCTCCGTCGAGTACTTGCGAAACCACCAGGCCGATATCAAGCGGGCCAAGTCGATCCTGATTGTCGGTGGAGGCGCTGTCGGGGTACAGATGGCGACAGACCTCAAGGAGTACTATCCTGATAAAGAGGTCACCCTTGTACAGTCTCGGGCACGAGTCATGCCTCTATTCCACGAGCAATTGCACGAGGTGATCAAAAAGCGATTCGATGAGCTAGGGGTCCGGTATGTTTACGTGATTGTCTTATCCAGCACTGAACCTCGACTAACGAGTCAATTTCCATAGACTTATTGTCAACGCTCGCGTCAGCGTACCTTCAGAAGGATTCCCTACCGATGGAAAGCCATTTGATGTGCAGCTCACCAACGGCAGCAGGGTTTCGACGGAGTTCGTCATTCTTGCAACGGGCCAACGGCCTAATAATGACCTTTTGACCAGTTTGACCCCTTCGGGATCTGGATCGTTGATCAATCCGGATAACGGGTTTATTCGGGTTCGGCCTACGTTGCAACTAGACGATGAAAACTTTCCGAATATCTTTGCTGTCGGTGACATTGGCGACACTGGTGCGCAAAAGGCCGCCCGGCCAGGATCCATGCAGGCCGGCGTGGTCGCCAGGAATATCCAAGCGTTGATAGAAGGACGAAGACCAGAAGAAGAGTATGCACCGCCGCCTGCAGCCATTCACCTCACCCTTGGCATGGTAAGTTCCATACTCAAAATACTTAAAAAAAAGATGAGGGCTGACTGAAGCTTATTCCCACCAGAAATTGAATGTCATATTCCGCAATCCGAACACTGCAGAAGGACAGACCGAACCCTGGATAAATGAGAAGACTGAGTAAGCTGCATTCATGACTGTTGCAGAATATGATACTGATTGATATGTATAGTGGCCGAGAGGATATGGGAGTGGAAGGCTGGTGGGAGAGGCTGGGCGTTCAGGTTGAGAACCCTCGCTCGTACCATCTGTAGTAGTTATGCCATATGATGATACCCAATAGACAATTTATTTGAATGCTCTTTGATTGACATCTATCCCCCGAAGTTGCCACCCCCCCCCCCCCCCCCCCCCCCCCCCCCCCCCCCCCCCCCCCCCCCCCCAAAAACCAATAGCTTTTGTCTAATAGACTATCCTCTACATGTACAGAGAACGCTCTGGTGAAATATCACCGTGTCAGCTCTTGTTACTGGAGACGTACATGGTTCCACTCAGGTATCACAGACTCTCTGGCTGTTCTGTGTAGCAGCGGGCGCATGTGCCCTCCCAAGTTCAGGTTCGCCACGGTAACAACTATTACACTCGATCGGGAGGACTGAGATGGCACGCAGAGGTAAAGCCCCGTTGTGCGAGATGATTCTAAAGTCAGCTTCGAGACAAGGGTCTGCGCACTCAGTGTTGATGTTGCACCCGTTCCGAGCGGCATATTTCTCAACTATGAGCGAACCGGTCGGAAAGGTAATGAAGGAGATTCATGGTGATCTGCATGATGCCCAGGGACGCAATTGCAATAGAGTTGATGTTAAGTCAGAGATGTCTCCCCAGACGATGGATGGGCAAGGTGTTACGTATGCGCTGGAAACTAAAGTTATTCTCTCGTCAATGTGGGGTGGCTCTGATAAACATCCAAGATGTTCCGCTTGAATAACTGAGACTGTTCAACGCGTCGGACAGCGCATTACATGTGGGGATGAGTGGAAAGCGAATTGGTTATTGTCGTCCATCCCTTGCTGAGGCCGATGAATCCTACCTTTACCTTACCTTTAAACAATGGTGTGCCTGGATATTGACACGAGACCACGTGATAGCACCAGGGGAGGGATTGGGCGCCTTATCGCACAGGTATCAACAAGAGCCGCAGGAATGTAGACTAAAGCTTTGATACTGCTGATAATATCCTGGTCTTATCACCTTTCACAATGAGATAGTCGTATCTCATTTGTTGCTGTAGCGACCCTTATCAGTGATTGGACTCCCTTTGCTAGCAGTGCCCCACACACGACGGCCATTCCCTTGACGCGTGACTCAGGATTCCTCCTCCTCCAGTATGACATTGCTCTTCACAATTGCACACCACTGCTGATATTCGGAATGTTACCATCACCGATACACCTTCTGGCCACCGCCATTGCTCTCACAGGCGAAGTTGCCGCTCTTCAACTCCCTCTCTTCGGTGCCTCGGATCCCCACATTCCAGTGGCTGGGAAGGAGTTGATCAGCTCCTCTGCACTGCAAAGCCAGATCGATGTTGGCAATCTACTCAAAAGAGCCAAGCACTTGTATAGCATCGCGGAACTTGGGATCGACGAGTATAATCATCCCACACGAGTGATTGGCAGTAAAGGTTCGTTTGATCTGTTTGGCGTCGCGTATCACAAGGCGACTTACGTGACCACAGGGCATCTGGGGACGCTGGACTACATCTATGCGACTCTGACGGATTTCGACGACTACTACACCATCTCCAACCAGTCGTTCCCTGCATTTAGCGGCAATGTGGTGGAATCACGGTTAGTGCTGGGCCACACTGTGCCGGAGTCTGCTCTCCCCATGGGCTTGACACCACCCACTAAGGACCATGAACCGGTGTACGGACCGCTGGTGCTTGTCTCACGCCTGGGGTGTGACGCGGCAGACTACCCCTCAGAGCTCAAGGGTGCCATCGCATTTATCAGCCGAGGCAGCTGTCCCTTTGGTACCAAGTCCGCCTTGGCTGGAAAGGCCGGAGCCGTGGCTGCGGTGATCTTCAACAACGAAAAAGGCGGCCTCGGAGGCACTCTGGGCACTCCGTCTCCCGACCACGTGGCTACCTTTGGCATTTCGGACAGAGATGCGGCGCCGTTCCTGCAACGACTCGGACACGGCCAGAAGGTCGATGCGATCGCCTACATGGATGCGACGGTGGAGACCATCACCACCACCAACATCATCGCGCAGACAAAGGAAGGAGATGCTGACAATTGCGTGATGGCCGGTGCACACAGTGACAGTGTAATGGAAGGCCCTGGCATCAACGATGACGGATCGGGCTCCTTGACCTTGCTGGAGATCGCTTCTTTGCTGCCTCAGTACCGCGTCAACAACTGTGTACGTCTGGCTTGGTGGGCCGGAGAGGAGGAGGGACTGCTCGGATCGGACTACTATGTATCGGTGCTGCCAGAGGCTGAGAACCTGAAGATCCGGCTGTTTATGGACTATGACATGCTGGCCTCACCCAACTTTGCCTACCAGGTCTACAACGCCACTAACGCAGTCAACCCGGTCGGATCGGAACAGCTGCGGGACCTCTACACCGAGTTCTATGAGGCTCACGGATTGAACTTCACCTACATCGCGTTCGATGGACGAAGCGATTATGATGCATTCATCCGGAATGGCATCCCCGGCGGCGGAATCGCCACTGGAGCTGAGGTGATCAAGACAGAGGAAGAGCAGAAGATGTTCGGAGGCGTCGCTGGAGATGCCTTTGATCCCTGCTACCACCAACTCTGTGACGACGTAGGCAACGTCAACCTCACTGCCTGGGAGGTGAATACCAAGGTAAGAGTTATTTGTCTCTACAGTCGAGAACGGTTACTGACATGTACACAGCTGGTCGCACACTCGATTGCCACGTTCGCTCGGTCATTCGATGGCTTTCCGAAGAGGATTGGAGTAAAATCTGTGATGAAGGATGAAGGGCAGAGAAAGTATCATGGACACACTCTGCTGTACTAGCTGTAGATCTGAGTCAATTCATGCATTGTAGATAGATCTAGATATTCTGGCGTGGACTTGCCTGTATCAATCTCCATCGGCTGACTGGAGAAGGTATTTCCAGCTATTTGACGTCATCTGATCCATAGAATCAATCTATTACCTAAAAGCTCAGTAAGGGGGAAAGTCATGATGAGGCATTTCTTGGTGCCAAGGACAATCCTCTGAGACTCTGAAATTTTCGACAAAGCACGCAACTGGTCTAGAACTGAACAGGACTTTAGCTAAAGCTCATTAACAATGTCAGATGATGGGCGTATGCAATATTTTACCTAACAATAAAGCCCCTACTACGAGGAAGAGCCTATCAGCACCAATTCCGGTATGACCGCCTCCTGACTGCCGTCATTCCCGGTGGGGCGATGGATATCCTCGGCCCCAGTATTTGCCCATCTTAGCGGTTTGTGGGGAGAGCAAGAATAGCAGCAAGCCATCAGCCGGATCCTTTACCCCAGAATTTTTGTGCTTGAAAGGTGGTAAGGAGTAGTATAATTCTAATCCAAAATCCAGAGATGAACAGCTATGACTTGTTTTATATACCCTGGTTTTCTTCCACTATTCCCAGGTACAACTACAGCTCCGATTGCATAACATGATCAATCAAGTCGTATCATCCTGCTTCACTCTTATCCTCTCGTGCACCTCTACACAATCATGGCGCTAGAAGCTCTTCCAGCAGAGCTCAGGATTCACATCTTGAAGTCTATGCCAGATGTTGAAACCCTCCACGATCTTATCCGAGTTTCCGCGGCATACCGGATCACCTACCGTTTCTCCCAAAGAAGCATTCTCGATCGCCTGGTACGAGAACACTATGGCGCAGTTGGGCTGGAAGAACCTATTATGGCCATTCAATCTGCCGGCCTCCATGCCGAGGAATCAGCCAACAAACAGAGAATCATCGAGGTTCTCGATCGCCAGCGCATCTCCGATTCAGTCCCCAGCAAGCTGAACCCCTCCGATAGTATCGACCTTCTTCACCTTCATCAAACGTTCCAGACGCTATTAGACTCCCTTTCCTCGCATGCGGGACTTTCGGGCCAAACCGAACCCCTTCCACGGCAGCAAACCGCTCCCTTGCGACTCTCACCGACGGAAAAGGCACGGATATTGCGAGCGCTGTGTCGGTTACAAACGTACTGCAACGTCTTTGGCGCACGAGAATGGACAGAGCCGGCCGATGACCTCTGCAACCCGTCAATTCCCAAACGGACGTCTTCCACCTGGTACAAAAACTTCACAATCCACGAGATGTGGCGGCTTTGTTTCGGCTCGATGGCTCCGTGGGAGGTGGAGGAGTTTGGATCAGTTTGGGTTCTCGTGCGGAACGAATACAAGCGCATGTTCGACGAGATTCAGCAGGAGTTTCCTCGGACAGATAGTCGGTGGAGGTCGCTGAGACCAGCTTCATTACCGGCTGATCCGTGTGAGCTGTACCCCAGTTCTTCTGGTACGTTCTTTCCATCTGAGATACCTGTCTTCAAGGCTGACTGGAAAATAGACGATACAAATGATTATAGCATCTACTTGAACCATCTCGTCCTCTTGGGTCCTACCTTCCTACATAAGGTCCTCTCCCAGAACACGCGGGAAGATCGCTGGCGATTGTTGGCATGCAATGCGATATCCTCCAAATCCTCATTCATGGACACAGTACGGGTCGTCCGGAATCCCTCGCCTCAAGTGTGGTCTGTAGAAAGATGTACGAATGATGACACTCTGCAAGGGTTGCGGACGATGCCGGCCATCGACCAGCCCAATCCTGGTTGGAAGCAGCACTGGCACGGTCAGGATGTGGCCGATTTTGAGAGCTTCACTCCCAGATCGACAGTTGGCACGTCTGGAGATACTCAATTACGGACATTCGGGCACTGCGCCGGCTGGGAATGGGGTTATGCACTATGGGACGCTGCGAGGTGACCTGACTCCAGGGACATTTTAATGATTAATGACATTGCATTGGGTGAAGAATATGGGAATAGCATCCTGGGCTGTACTAGCATGATAATCAGCCAACTAATACAAAAGTTGATTCCCTTTTCATCGTAACAAAAGTCACTGGACGTGTATAACTGCCTCGGCATTGGTTCAAGCCAGGCATCCTTGGATTATAGCAAATAAGTACCAAGAGAAACAAGGCTATAGCTCAAGGTTCAATGGTTGTCCGGGGATAACCCTTGGAAAAGCCTAGACAAGTCCGATAAGACAGAGTCGAAATGACTACAATAAAAAGCCTGGATTAATAGGAGGTATGGCCCATGGCTATTTTAGCCGTTGCGAACGTCATGTTGATCCCACTGTTTTTGTGGATTAGCGGAAGCTACCGAGTCGCTATGATGGCGATCAACAAGAATATATATTCATGTATAGCAGAATATTCATGACTTCACCATAAGCCTTGATTTGAATTGCCAAATCTAGGTCTAAATTGGAAACTTGCAATGACAACTAGATTGAGTTTTATTTGCAGACAGGAGTCGAGCTTGGCTTTGAAACTGCCAAAGATGGATTTGTTTGCGAACATCCATCTGCAACACCAAGCAGGAAATCATCGACCGCAGCATCGTATGCCGCTCCGCAGTTCGGATCACTTGAATAGCATCAGAATAAGCATTCACGCAGCAGATATTTATCGGCGTTGACGCACCTTGACCCTCCGCTTGCATCATTAAAATAGGAGCAGATATCATGAGAGAAACAGTCTTGGGTATACGCATTGCCAAGTGCAGTGCCTGTGCAACCCTCGCCACATCGGCCATTGCAGGAATAGCTGAAACATGAGAATCATCCCATTAGCCAGACAACATTTAAGACGCCTTCACACCGGGAAATATTATGCTTACTCTCCTGTTCCAGCACTATTGGTGCCATAATTGCTCCCCACCACCCCGACAAAGGAACAGCTCTGTCCGGCACTGTTGGTCCAAGTGGCTGTAGCAGTTGCCCCGACTTTCAGACAGGTGACTGATCGTTTGTTGATGGTCATTTCTAGTGCTGAAGGCATTGCCTTGGTCAACAGAGGTAGTAGGGCAAGTAACGCGCTAACATTGGCTATCATCCTCATGTTGGTACACTTGTTGTTGGTATATTGCCATTGTTGCTGGTAGTCTTAAGAAGCGTCCAGACTTTATATATAGGTACTTTCATACGTGAATCTCGGAGATATTCTCGGAAGACGATCACTCTTATTCCTGTCGCTATGCTTTGTGTTTCGTTTCAGGTATAGTATGAGCATGAGCTGACACCATTTTCGTGCTGATGACGCCTTACTTTTCCATAGCCTCCAGAGCAGTCTTAGGGCTCATTCCTCCATCTTCCGAGGCAAAACAGATATGTACTTATCTATAAACAATGCCTTCAAGCACTAGCAGTCAAGTAATGCTCAAGTTCCCGTTCTCAGCGTGAATCGACAAGAATGGTATTGTTGGCTTTTACTCTAACACGGCCGGAGATCCAGTCATCATTCATTTGGCATAAACCATTCTGCCGTTGATTCCAATGGATTTTCCAACGGAATCTCGACATCAAATAGCCCAGTAACAGCTCCTTCATTGCAGTGTCTAGCGTCAAATGTGATCAAGGCCATTGCGCCCCCAGCGCCTTCAACATTCAAAGTCGGAGTGTACACACACGCGGCTCGGGTCTTCTTCCTTAATTGCGGGGGTTTATACAGGATACAAGCAGCCCGGATAAATATTGTAAGTACGCTCGCAGACACTTGAAGACATTCTGTGTGATATCGGGCTTCACTACCGAATTTGGTAAGACGCCAGAGAGCACTCCCCGCATCCCCGCATAGTCTCTGGGGAAGCACTCAATGCGCCTTTGAACCATGAGAGATATAAAGTTGCCCTCCATGCCTGGCCGCAGGTATGGATGAAATGGTAAGCCAGAAGCCACCCAGAGTCCCGTTCATGATGGCACTACTCTCCTCTCTGGCTTTTGCAGTCTTTGCTCTGGCTGTGCCTCATGTGGCACCTCGGCAGGCGTCCAACACTACTCACTATTATACGGTCCTGGAGGGTGATAGTATCTTCAGCATTGCGGCCAAACTTGATCGCGGAGTCTGCGATATCGCGCGCGCCAATCGGATGATGGACGCGGAATACCTCTTTCCTGGATTCTCTTTGATCATCCCGGATGCAGTCAGCAACCCAGACAATGACACATGCCTCTTGCAAGCTCAGAACGCCACTGCAACGTGCATCTATGGTGGCCCTCATGACTACACCACTGCCACCAATGACACCATCACGCGAGTCGCCCTGTATAAGTTGAACATCACCGTCGACTCTTTATGGACAGAAAACGCAAAGATCTTCAATCTGTCTTCTCCAGACGAGGTCCTGCCACCTAACTCGTATCTCAAAGTCCCGCAATGTATGCCCAGCGTTTGCACCATTACAGCATTTGAATTCACCTACGGCGTGTTCAAGGACCTGGCGGAGAAATATGGTACGACAGTTGGGCAGATCATGACGCTGAACTTCCATTACAACTACAGTTCAGCTGTGGGAACGGCCGCAGACGAAGCCCTGGGGCTATCCTACCCCATCATTACGCTGCCTGTTGGGTGCAGGGCGTTGGTCGATAGTCCATCATCCAACCTTTGATCTCTCCGTTGGAGTAGAACAAGATGGCGGCAGGAGGAACTCGATCCACTCCTACAGTTAGAGGCATGTATATAGCAGAACCTGTAGACTGGAGAATGGACGGGAATGACGGGTAATGTTCCCTCATGACGGTCGTATTGAAACAGATTTTAAGGAGCTTTCAGTAGACGTTGGAAGGCCAGCATATCAAATATGAAAAATCATGGCTTTCATGCAAATGCGTCTAAAACGGACATGTCTATGTACAGTTCTCTATTTACAAAAAAGGACTAAGCCTCATGTGCTGGAACAGCTGAAGCTGCTGCTGTTGGTATCGTTGTGGATGGCCGTGCCCGATGCATATAAGCCCAAGACACAGAGGGCCAGACCGAACAGGACAATGGAGATGTTGAGGATGGTGAGCAAGATCTTACGAGGGCCGGCGAACCACTGCCCGTAGTTCAAATGAAGCCAATAGACACCACTGAGCCCATAGCTGAACCAACTGGCGAAGAGCGCGCTCTACAGCTCCGTTAGCATAGGTCTCAAATGAACCGGGGGATAGAACTTGACTTACGATCAAACCGTTCAGGTCACTGAACACAGGAATAGCCTCTGCAATGATCCAGGCGACAACCCAGCAAGTCAGACCGAGACCGATCCAGATTCCGACAGAGCGTTTGCTTCGGCTGTGGATCAGATCCGACTTGTGGCAAAGACGGAAATAGATGTACTTGAGACCGACGTGGCCGTTGACCACACCAGCTCCAACAATCTAAGAGTCAGTTAGCATGCATGCTGCGGTGGCGGAGGAAAAGGAGCATGGAGACGCACCGTAGGAATGGCAATGCCAAAAGCGACCTTCTTCATCACGGGGCCCGCAGAAAGCAGAGCCGGCGATGCTACGTCTTTGCCGACAAAGTAGTAAATCACCACGGCAGCAGTGAGATACAAGCAAATCTCAAAGGACTGAAGCATGAACAGCGACTTCTTGAAATCTCTGGGGTTTTCCATTTCGGCGATCAGGCCAAAAAAGGCAACGTGGGCGCAGTAGGCAAAAACGATGTTGGAAACCGCCTGGAATCCGGAGTAGAGGGTAGTGTTGACTGTCGCCTCGATAATGCGGTCGGCGTGTTCTTGCACGCCCACAGAGACCATGGTAATCATGACGGCGCCAAAAATGCTGAGGAATGCTGTAAGAGACGGATTAGTACCCACTCACGTCCTAGTTCCAAGCGACCTCAATGGACTACTCACACACAAACGAAATCCACGTCAGTCCCTTCATGGTGCGAGGAATCGAGAGGACCATGGAGATAATCATGCCCACGACACTAAAGACAATCGAGCAGGTGCCATGCTCAGTGATCGTGTTCATCATGACCCGAAAGGTCAGGAGATGGCTTCCCATGACGAAGATAAAAAATAAGAATTGACCAAGGCCGAAGAGTTCCCGGCCAAAAGGTCCCATCAAGATCTCTCCCGCATCCGCAAGGTTCTGGATTTTCGGATATCTCTCTCTAAATAAACCAATATTGTACCCGGTGTAAAGCGCCAGGAGACCAAGACCGACAATCAAAATGACAGCTCTGAAAGCAAGTCAGTAACGAGAATAACTATACCGTCGCTATTGAAGCACTTACGGGACAAGACCCAGAGTAGCCACAGCAGCTGGCAGGGACAGCACACCGAGCGACACGGATTCGCAGATCATGACTATATCGAACAATGTTAGAGGTTGAAATAATGATCACATCAAGGGAGTCTCGTACGCAAGCCGCATTGCCTAGATTAACAAAAAGCAATGGTTAGCAAAGATCTGAGCCCATTGGTGAGATTGCCGAGCACATACCACCACTTCAACGTCTTATATTTGATCTCTGCCGACTCCTCGTTTCCAAAGGCATCTGCAACCTGGCCAGTCTTGAGTTGGCCCTCCTCCTCATAGTCCGAGGTGTACTTGGTCTCTTCGACTTTCTCGTTCCTGTATGCAGGAGGGTTCACGTTGATGGCCTCCATGGTGTTTCGATTCGGTCACTAGCAAGGGAGGCAGAGAGACAGGACAACAAAGGCGCAACAGGCTTCGAAGAGAGTGAATGCAGTGCAGGGCGGATCGTCGTGCTGATATATGACTCGACAACTAAGTTTTCATTACTCCATACTGAGGTGCCGATCCACCCCGGTGTGAGGCGAAGTTCTCCGTACGCCCCATACTTTGGATTCTCTATACATAATGAAAACTCAGCGGACCCACTAAAAAGCTTGGCTCCGGAGTTGGACGACAAGTCCCATTCGTCCAAAAGGTCATTGGATGGATCTTCTCCGTGCAAAAATTGGCCACTCGGACCGATATCGGGTATCCGTCGTCTATCGAGTCTGAAATGATTCTGGAATCTGTGGGAATCCGGTGACCAAGTTGGGGACTCCGCGTTTCATTTGTCACAATTATCGCCTCCAGGGCTCAGGATTCCATCTTGGAACTGCTGCCTACTGGTCTTAAGTTCAAGCCTTATGTTCTTTAGAGTTTGGCCAATGTAACACTAAATCCAGATGACGGGCAGGATCCTTCGGCGCTCCCCGAAATACGACTGCAAAACTTACATATGGCATGATGACTCAACTGAAGTTGATTAGAAAGCAGAGTAGCAGGCGGGAGGAAAATACATCCACCTCACACGTGACGGCGGAACAGACGGATGAGATGATGACTACTGTTACTTAGAAGCTGACCAATCTAAGGATGGGAGCTTTTCTACAATCTTTCAACGGTATAAAAAGATGTAACAATCAGGATCACTGCAGTGAGATGGAGGGCAGTGAGGAAAGAGGACCGCATGATGGCCTAGCAATTATTTTATGATCGCTCAGCATTTCACTGTCTACTTGGGCGTGTTTGCCTAGGATTTCCGACGCGTAAGATTGTCCTTCACGATGTGCCAAAAGATGACGAGCCAGAGCCAGTGCCTGCACTGGTAGGGCCTCTGTCTGGGCCCACGACTAAGAAGAATGACCCATGCGGCTTTGCAGCGGAGCTGACAAGAGCTCGCAAGGAGCAAACTGTCGGTGGCGACAAGTACTATATTACTATATCATGTCTGCGCTGACCGCAAAAAGGCCAGCTTTACCAACAAGGAGGCTTGGTCATGCAATTGGCCTGGCGGAGTGTACACTTGATGACAGTTAGCCCCGGTCGCCCGTTCTCGCCTGTATCTTTACGTTTTTGTTCCCTCATATCTTGTATATGTGCTTTCGATGTAGTATATGTATCTTGTTGTAGATATTATAAGCAGAAGGTGCGTCGACAATTGATCTCTTACTCTGCGTACATTACGCGACTGATCTAATGAAGAGTCCCTAATATCCCAACTCAAAACTTCCACTGATTGATCCACCTCTCCATCAAGGGCGCATCAATCGCTTGGAGTCGTCGCAACGTCTTACTTGCAGCCTGGGTCTTGATGGTCTCTGTCGACGGGCCCGCCTCATTCGAGTATGCGATCGCCTTAAAAAAGTCCAAGATCTTCAGAGCGGGCTTGTCACGAAAATCGTGCTCAGTGGCGTTGGTGAAACTTTCCAACGTTGAGATCCATGTTTGAATGTCAACAGGCTCGACATCAAAATGTTTTCTCACGGCCGGAACGAGCGACTGCCAATCTGTTACCCTGGGGTTGACGATGTGGAATGCCGCGCATGGCTCATCCTCCTGCGTGGAGCGCCGGGTGCGAACGATGTCGATGATCACTTTGGCGCAGACATCCTGCCAACTTGCTGTTAGCCCTGTGAAGACGAGAAATGATTCGGGGTGAAACGTACCACTGGAACCCATTGCACCGAGACTGAACCCAGTGAGTCTGGAATCTGCTTGATCGTCTTTGAAGTCGCGATGAGCGAGGGCAGCCATTCCTGCTTATTCCACATGCCCAGCTCGGTAGTTGGGCCTCCTATCTGGCCTACACGGTGGATGCTTGTCGGAACACCGCATTTCGCTGATGCTACAGCACAGATCCTCTCAGAAACGTGCTTCGACTCGCCATAACCCTGACGAAGCACAGAACTAGGATCGTCGAAGATTACTTCCGGGATAGTAGGACCCTTATTGTACCCTTCAATGGTGGAGATGGACGAGATAAAGTGGATATGCGCTGTCTTCTCGCTGGCAACGCTGAACTCCACTAGACGGCGGACGCCCTCGATGTGCGGATTCTCAAACGCTTCTACTCGATGGTTGAAGTTTACTTTCCAGGCGTTGTGAATAATTGTGTCAACCTCCTGCAGCATCTCGTCATACTTAGCATCATCCAGCCCGAGCTTCTCAGCACCAAACTGAGCCTGGAGAAACTCCACTCGAAGCGGGAATCGGTCAAGCTTAGTGAGTCCCTTTTCGCGGAGACTCGAGAGCTGTTTGGTAGCGGCATCTGCTGACCGATTGAGACAGTAGATCTTTGTGACGCTGAAATCGCCCAGAAGCTCGGATAGCAAGTAGGAGCCGAGAGAGCCAGTTGAACCAGTGAGGATGACAGCATGATTCTGACCGAATCCCTCGGTGTATTTCGCGACTAGATCGGCAATTCTTGTTTCTCGGTCGCTGTCAGTTTCAACCACTGCGGTAGCAGGTGCCGTATCTTGGCCCTGAAGGATACCGTAGATATACTCAGTAAGTTGACTAACTGTCGGTAGCGAATATAGCTGTGGGCTGCTGAATGCTGCTCCCAAGTCGGGACGAGCAGATCTCAGAGAGGCCTGCAGGATTTGACCCAGGCGCAGCGTCTGAAGTGAATCAAGTCCGCCCGCAAAAATGTCTACATGTTCATCAAAAGCTGATACCTCCAGGATCTCGCACAGGACTGAAGACACGTAGGTAGAGATCTCAGAGCAAGTGGCATCCCTAGGAATCTGGGCCGCATCAACCTGGTCGGCGTCGGCGTACAAGGCATCAATCTCACATGCGTAGTCATTGACAATCATTCGCCGCTTGATAGTGCCCTTGGCCGTCAACTGGAACGGCTTTGATGGAGAGGCGACGGCGACACGATCCTTCATTATCTGAGCGTGAGCAGGAGCGGATTCATTCGCTTTCTTCACATGTGGCCAGATGTCTTCAATCAATGCACTCGGTTCGCCATTCCACGACTCCCAGTTAGGCTCAACCAAAACACCAGATTGAAAGCGGCCTTGACCGACAACGACTGCTCGAGCAACAAGAGGATGACCAGAGATAATCTCCTCCATATTGATTGGGTTGAACTTTTCACCGTTGCTCAAAACAATCACATCGTCACGCCGTCCGGCATACAGCCAGAGGCCTTTCTTGTCCGGGTGAGGAGTAAAGAGGTCCCCAGTGCAATATTCCGTCTTCTCCGGATAAGTATGGAACACGGCATGTAGGGTGCGACCCTTCTCACTGCGCACCACAACAAGCTCGTAACACCCATCTCCCGCATCACGCATTTCATATCCAGCAAAGGGATTGAACTCGAGATACGGCCACTCATCTTTCTCTTGATACTTCAAGGCGCCGAAAATAGCACATTCGCTAGACCCAATCACTGACTGCAGATGGACGACCTCAGCAATGCGATCGCCGGCTTCGCGAGCCAAGGGCGCACCGCCAAAGGTAAGCATGTCAAATGTCTTCAGGCATTCCACGCCCAGCTCAGATGCGCAGAGCTCCTCAAGCATGGATGGTGCCAAGATGGCAGTCTTGGGCTGCCCGTGCTTGATGACTTCAGCGAGATAGTCGACCGCCAAGGGCTTTTCGTGGGTCAAGACAAATGGTGTCGCCGAAATAATTGGGACCATCATGTTGAGTATCCCCATAAGATGGAAGAATGGGCTGACGGCAAGGACCCGCTTGCCTCTCTCTGCAACTGCAGCTATGCTGCCAACCCGATTTTCGGGAGTGGGCAGCTCGCAAATTTGCTGCAGGGCGATCAAATACCCATTTGTCATCGGGACAGGCTTGGGCATACCTAGCAAGACAAAAACAGTTGTTGTTAGCCTTCATTCGGCACCCAAGTCTTCACGTACTAACCAGTGGTTCCGGAACTATGGATGTAGACCGCCACCCTATCTTCCGGGTCTTCTGCGGGTTCTTTGATGACAGGCACCGGTGCTGTGGGTTGACGGTCAAATACATCCCAGAGGTCTGGCGCGAGCCATGATTGCAACGACGTGTTGGCTGCCTTGATTTCATCAACCTGTCTACTTCTCTCGGACGTGTAAACGAATTTAGAACAGTTCACAGCATCGAGGACGTGGCTGGATGCTTGTTCCGAGTTTCTTGAGGACAGAAGAACAGCCTGTTACCCGTTGCTATTAGTGACTTGACCACTTGACTAAACACGACGAGTGGAGGATCTTTGGGACAATACTGTATGGCGCAGCCTCATGCACGCAAAGACAAAGGCACAATATCGAATGTCATTTACACCCATATAGGCCAAAGGTTGGGGTTCATCGGCCGAGGCCACATTTTCGTGAATCCAGAGCGCGAGACGGTTGATTGCGGCAGCCAGGTCAGCAATGGTGATATTAACCCATCCATCGTGAACTTCAGGGGAGACTGGATGAAGACAGTAAAGCGTCTCGGGATCTTGAGCATGAATGGAGTCGAGTAAACGCAACACTGTCGAGTTTTCTGGGCTAGTAGAACCCATTGCAGCGATAGATAATTTCAGCAAGCTATTGAACCAAAAGAATACTGTACGGAAATGTTCAGTTCATATACTCACTTTTCACCCATAGCTTCTTACCTATGAAGGAGAGGGATCTGCAGCTGATGCTAGCGAACCGCCGATCATGGGTTTGCTGCGGGAGTAACATCGAGCTGGAGCTGTACATTGGTAGCACAACATAGGATTTATGCATGATTTCCAGATCTGATTGGTTAATGCCCCCAAAACCACTTTGTGATCAGTGTATTAAAGCCCGCTCAGTATCAATTCATCATCTATTTGATGCACCTGAGCCTGTGACTCTGGAAGCGCCTTACTCAAGGTCGCACGAGGGACCGTACTTGAGGGGCTACACGATCAATTTTCTGCAACAGCTGCAGCTTCTGCAGAGGTTCATAGACACCAGCTACCCGGCTATGATGTTGGCTTTGAAAGTGATTGGCTTTTGCTGGTTGATTCAGCTCCACGAATTTTGATTGCCCTCGACGTGAGCGACAAATCAACTATTCATCATGCATGAAGAACTGGCGGTGTACAGCATTTCCCCAGTATTCTCAATTAGCAAACTCTTGCCTACCATCGCCTGGAGACGTAATATAGATCTGCAGATCGCTGACAAACCGACTTGGGAGCTGAATCGTGAGACAGCGAAAGATCGGCAGACACGGAATGCAGTAAATGAAAGCATCTGTTGATGTGATGGCCATTTGGGTTTTCGCTGGCAGAGAGTCAAAATCCAATGATCAAGATCATGGCCGGAAAATCGATCTCAAGAATGTATATGAGCCGCTGTTCGAGAAGTCGATGTCGCTTAATGTTACTACCTAAAGAGTAAACTCTGAGCGATCGCTACCATCATCCGGAATGCCATAATTCATAAGATTAAATATACACCGGGGAAATTGTCAAGTTGAAGAGCACTATTAGGGTCAGGGACGGAAGTTCGTTGTTTTCAAGATTTTTTCACTATCCAAATACTCGTTAGCTGACACCTAGCTATGAAGGCTAGGCGTAGCTCCTCCGGTGGAAAGAATACTCATGTACAAATTGTCTAGCTTAAGAGCAAATAGTTTATAGCCAACCGAGGTACAAGTAGTATAGAACTCCTCAGGGGCTGGGGGAAATATTGCTGCTAATGGTTCTCATTGGTTACAACCTCGTATCTGCAATGCATGCCAGCTCATTTGTTCCTCATCTAACCAGTTGGAGGTGATTCGGGATCTCTTGTAAGGCAGCAAGTAACCAGGGTGGCTGGGTCGAAACTCAAACCTGACCGGGATGGGCAGCCTTGGCGATCACCGTAGAAATACTAGCCTGTACGGAGTCTTAATTAACCCAAATAGATGGCTCTTGGAAGCTGACCCCAATCAGATAACTTTCTTCTCTTCATGCAGTGTCTTGACGTCTGTACTGCCTCCGTCGTGGAGCCTTCAGAATGTCATTGAAGAAGCTACTAGAGAAATCCTTGGGTGGATATTTGCAGAAGCAAATAAAGGCGATCTCGACGCCGCTTGGACCATACTCGAGAAGCTCAAGCTCAGTCTTGCCGATGATGATCCAGACGTGGAAGCGGATCTTTTTGATGACCAGATTTGTTTCCGATTACTGACCGGCAAACTCGATGAAGCCCACCGATGCTTGGAAGAGTACCACGCATTGCTCGGTCAACTGCCCACGCGGCACGAAATAATCTATGCCGTACTTAAGTGTCTGGTCGATTACTGCAGAAGGAATCCACCAGTCCTAGCGTTTGCAGTGGAATTGGATGGGATCAGGTCTATTTCCCCTCCAGAGAGAATTATGGACACCATAGAGATGACGAGAGAAGCGAATCAATGGCTCGATGTATGGGGCACATCCGACTTATTGTCAACGTGGAGCTTGCGTCTCTTGATCCAAATGCCGTGGGATTTCCAGGCCAATCTCTTGACAGCGAGACGCCATCATCCTCCGCTCTCTCTGTAGCAGCTATTGCCGACTGCAGACATCCAGATGAAGTGGTCACCGAAATCGCGCCCTTCCTTGCGGAACTGTAACAGGAATCGGTTGAGAAAGACACCTGTCCTATAAGTCACTATGTTGACGGACTGCTTTTGAGACTTCATTACGCTATGAATTCGTCTGCGTACGAGAATGTTTGGCAAACGCTTTTTGCGCAATACGAAGCCAACGGAGACAAAGTGGGAATGGCAAAATGCATGCTCTTTCAAGCCGATGCCATGGTGTGTTCTTCGCCGTACACTGCGCCCACAATTTTGACCTTGATCCCACTCAGACTACCGAGCGCAACTAGGGAAAGTCAGCATCTCCGGGACCCCGTAGAGGCGCACTGCCCTTTCGGATTGAGCGAAGAGGCTACGAAACTACATGAAGAGACTCTCAAACTCTACCAAGAGTCCTCCGCTCCCAGAAACCACGCGTCAGTTCTGTTGCGTCAAGGTTGCTGTCTACACGCACACGCGTGCTGTGCGATCCTGTTCATGAGGATTGGAATGACTTGTTGGACGCTGCCAGTCGGAAATTGAATGCCTCGCTCACGATCTTTGGAAAGGATGAGGCTAATTCCTAAGTGGTCAATGCCAATCAAATTTTGCTTGGCTGTAGCCAAGGTCCCACGGAGGTGCTGATCCTCATATTTGTAGGAAAGGGTTACATGTGGACCCAAAAGGACCTTCTGATGTACGCCATTGATGCTTGTCGTATTATGAATCTCGGGTCTACGATTTCATCAGCATCAGTTAGCGCCTGGTTGAGCCCCATGGAACAGGAACGCTCGTATGAGCGGCGTTACGCGTTCCAGACTGAGTACAATGTCAAACAGTGGAGCACTGTGCACAATTTAGTAATCGTCCAATCATGCCATCGGTGAGCGCTAGTCATCGCGGGTGATCAGCTTTTGCGATCGTGACACACCAGTCGGTTTCCATCTGGAGGTGAGCTCAAGGCAGGAGCGGTACTGTACTCCATGGCCCTCTCTTCGTCTGCAACCCTATTTCGGCCACAGCTGTGCTCTGACTATCCCGAGGGTTGGCAAGTATTCTCGCTCAAGGCTTCAAAAAAAAAAAAAAAATCTCCACACATCCTTATGGTAGTGGAGTCTCCCTCACTGCTGTAACAGCTAGGCGCCAATTCATCAACTAGCGCCGTAGGCTTACTTCTTGGGCGAACATCTGGGGAACTCGCGTGCCAATAAAACCCGGCTGTGGTTCTAGTGTACTTCGGAAGGCACCACTGATATTAATGATGATACCCATATCCATGATTTCCCTCGTTGGCTTAAATATTAGCAGCAGCGGAAAGGACCACAGCCCGCTCCAGCCACTTCTGTGTCCGCACCTAACACAACTCTCTGGCAGTATTTTTCCATGTCCAGTCGGGTCCATTGGGCAGCAACTGACAGACCTTTAGGGAGGCACATAACTATTTTCTCTCTCCAAAAAGATGACTCGACATTTTATGTATACTCATTGGCGAAAAGAGGCGGACCTACCTATCTCTCCACTTCAAAATGCCCAAGCCCGACCCTATCAGGTTTGTCGCCGACAACACCCCTCGTTGTCCTTCAACAGCCTACGTGTGCAACAGATGCTGGGAATCTCTCTTCAACACTGAGGCTTTTGAACGGTGCTGTACTTGGCATCCAAATAATGCGAAATACGAGCAAACAGGGACTGAAACTACCGCCACTGTCCGTGAAATCAAAAATGCAGTCTGCAACTGGTGTGCTTATATCAAAAATTTTATTTCCAACAGTTGGGCGCCAGAAGATAAGATAACCACATATCTTGGACCAAGCACAATCCCTTCGTGCACACCGCCCGGCAACAATACTTTCTATCTGAGCATTTCATGCCATTCTGGAATGGGAAAATGGAGAGGAGGCGCCGCCCTTTTTCTTCACGCCCTTACCACAGCAGAGGATCCTGCTTCAGACTATGTGACTGCGAGACCGTTGAGGACAGACACTAATAGTGAGGCGGCAAGATTGCAAATCGGAGCATGGCTGAGAGAGTGCAAGGAGCATAAATGCTGCAGCGCTTTACATGAGGACAGTATCCTTCCCACAAGAGTTATTGAAGTTAGTCCTCTAGGAAGAAGATATGCGCGAGTCGTGGAGTCTAAAAATCTGCGTGGTCTCTATGCTACACTTTCCTACTGTTGGGGGCAAGACGATTTTCCAACTCTCACTAATTCCAATTATGCACAACTCACCGAAGGCTTGGATGAAGAGACTTTACCTCCCACCATCCGTGATGCTCTTGCAACTACTCGCACCTCGTCCATCCCGTACTTGTGGATTGACGCTCTCTGCATAATCCAGGATTCTGAAATGGACAAGGCGAAAGAAATGGCACGAATGAAAGAAATATATGCCTCCTCAACTTTGACGATAGTCGCTGCTGCGGCAGAAAGTGTCTATAAAGGATTTCTCTATCCTCGTGTGCACCAGGAAATTCTTCACACTATCCCTGTCCGGCTTCAACATGACGTCTTTGGCACTATGTCTATCAATGAATTAGACGCCGTATGTTATGACGAGCGTTGTGAGCCCATTTCGAAAAGAGCCTGGACTATGCAAGAACAACTTCTGAGCAATCGTGTGCTCACTTTTACAACACGCACTATGATGTGGAGATGTTGGGAAGGAATAAAAAATTTTGGCAACTCTTTATATTTTCCGCATGACCTTGACACAGGATATAATGCCCACGATGAAAAGTACAGCCTTAATCTTCACTCTTTGCTTCTTAGCCAAGAAGAGGCTTGTACTCATAAAGACAAGGCTTTGAGTTGCTGGCTGCGCCTCGTTACAGCGTATTCAATCAGAGTTACAAGCCTTGAGCGTGATAAATTAAATGCTCTGGCAGGTATCGCCTCTCATCCTTCGTTTTCCGACGCGCTTGGGCCTGGCTACTTTGCTGGATTGTGGCAATACAATCTTGCGAGGCAACTCACATGGCGAACATCAACCTGGCACAGATCACTAGCTGATGATCAAACCTTCACATTTGAAAGGCCAGGGATGTGTCAGGCTCCTTCTTGGTCATGGGCAAGTCTGAACGGGGGTATCATACATTTTGATTTTTCGTATGATGAAGATGAGACCATCCCTGAAGTTATATGTGATATCCTGGATTGTTCAACGACGCCAGCGTTTCCAGGACTGAATCCATTTGGGGAAATACTGTCGGGACAGCTGAGGCTGAGAGCCCCTACCCGAAAGGCCTGGTTCAAACCTTCCACGTCCAATGTTTTCGTGCTCTCTGAAGTCATCTGCGGAACCGAGGTTGTGGACCTCAAAAATGGAACAATAACTCTCGAGGAAGCTTTTCAAATACATGCGGATGACTTCGGACTGAGACACCCAGATGTGAATTTGACTGAGGAGCCAGAGGCTATGCACGGCACGAATTACCGCAATACGTGCGGTACATGTGACGAGACAGGATACCGCGATTGTTGCTTAGTCTTATGTGTGGCCATTACTTTGGAAGATGAAAAGAACGATGGAGTGAAAGGTCTGCTCCTCATCAAGGAAGAAGGCGAGAGAAGGAATAGTCCCGTGTTCAAGAGAATTGGGTTTTTCGAACGGGGGAAAAACCTTGATTTCAAGAGTGACAAAACTTTAGAGGTTTCCATCATATAACAGATTGAGGTGGGTTATACAAAAGATTTCAGAACACTCACGAGTTTCTTAGCGATGGTCCTTATGAAAATGAACAGTTCCCAAATCCAGACTACGCCGATTGTTCCAGTGAAGCATAAAGGAGGCTTCACGCGAACGTCGGGGGTGCTTCTAGGCTATTCACTCTCGCGATACTCCAATGGGTTTTGAGAGCTCAACTGACCATCCTTACCTGGACATATGTCCTCCAAAACCGGGCTTCTCCTAGGGTCCTTTATGATGCGGTTTGCCCGCCGCGAGTGGAAAGTTGCACCGTCGATTTCGCGCAGCACTCTGGGTGTATGAGTGTGCTGAATGCTGTCTGAGAGCCCTAGGGGATGTGGTCACCTCATTTGCGGCCATCTTCGATCGCGCCACCATGTACAAAGAAGTATACAGTGGTCGGAACGCAGTTCTGGTGGCATAGACATATGTTAACATGCTCGAAATGGCCGTTCAATGGTACGATGAGCAGCTAGCTTTGCCCGTTAATCCCAACGATGCCGAGACCCAGCGCAACTTCCTTGAACTAGGGAGATTTGAAATGATTAACGATTTCAACCATGAGCTCCAAACACTGTATGCTCGATTCAGAGAGCATGATCTGCTGACAGCTTGGAACTAAAAATTTGACGCATTTGCCCAGCATGTCACATACCAGAAGATCTACAAGCGGATGGGTCGTAAAGCCCTTGCCGAGCAGTCAACGTCTTCGTACACGTATACGGAGATCAGGAGGAGGGGCGCGAAGACTGGAAGAGATTCACATATGCCGAAATGGAATCTCACTGTTCTCTTCGTAAGGGCGAAGTGAGAGGTTATGAGAGGCCATTTAAAAGATATCTCGACTCAGCAAAAGGTCAACCTATCACATACTGTCAGCCGTGCTATCGCATCTTGGCATGCACATGTCTGGGGGATCTGAGACAAGCCAAGGATATTCTGGATTCTTTCAGTGATCATGAGCTCCTCTACCAGATGGAGTCTTTACTGCTGGAATCGGGACGACCCATGTTCAACGCACGGGGTCATGCAGCACTTTATGGATGTGTGGTAGCGCAAGACTGGGAAAGAGCCGACCATCTCCTTAACTACATCTTGGAAAAATTGCAGAATTTCTTGACAGATATTGCTAAAGAGACAGCGGGGCAATTTGCTGTAGACATATCGATGATCGCCTTGATTGATCTGCACAACAATAGGGTCGGTGCCGCATTCTGACAACTCCTGGATGCAGGTCAACATGTTAAGCCTAGACGCAATTCAATGGAGGACTCAGACGTTAAGTTTGGTCTCATAATCAACGCCCGCACCATCAAGACATACTCGACCTTGGCAGAGACTCGTCTTTTGTGTTTAAGGCACGAGCTACCACGAGCATGCTTTAAGTGGCATGACTTTGGGTATCCAGCCGTCACCTAGGAAGAGCATGCATTGCTCTTTGTGGAAGAAGCAAGAGCGAGGTCCAAGCTGGATGCTCTGTCTCAGCGGAGTGGCCTATGCCACACCAGGCAGCGACATTCTCGGCTTCACGCTCGTTTGTTCTCGGCACTGGCTGTCAGGCGTATCTAGGGGGTCTGATCAAAATTAGTGACTTTGCTTCCATGACGCTTATAATCATGTTCTATCAGAATCTCAAAAAAAGTCCCAAACTCTCGCTTGTCGAGAGCTGGCGACAGCCTCAGCTTGAATTTATGCAGATGGACGACCAAAAAAGCAACCCGCTTTGTTGAGGAACTTGAGGACCGATGGGAGGAAATGATGTATCACCAAAAAAAAGTAATGCGGACACTTGCTGCCCTAAGGGCAGAACCATACTGACATGGTAAAAAAATGTTACTCTACCAGATGGATTGGGCTAGTCCTCACCTGTGGGCTTCGTTCGCTCTAACGGGATGGGACTAACACACATTGCGAGTGTGTTTGCCAGCAATACCTTTTTCAGGAGCTCATTTGGAGGTGCATTACCTTTGGCTGCCCCTCGGATGTTGCAATCCCTTGGACTTGGCTGGGCATCCAGTACATTGGGATTCATTTCCATGGCCATGCGTCTGCTTCCCTTCATTCTGGAAAGGGTAGGTTGCAATGTTTCTCGCAGTTTCATTTATCATCAGTTAATTCATCCGATAGTACGGAAAGTCATCACGCTCGGGGAGCAAGTTTGCATACTAGGGCACAGGAATCAAGTGGCCATATCCAGAGCCCCAATGTCGAGCCACATCGGCAGTCCAACCTGGCTTTCACTCCAGTCCTGGAGCAGCGTTTAAGAGCGCCGCCAGTAATAAGCGCCAGCCGTAACTTCGGGTGAAAGCACGCAGATGTCTATTTGTCCCCATTTTAGTTTGGCAACGCCTACCACGAAATCAAGGCTCGGCATTACCCCAGAACTTCTTACTTTTAGCAATTGCAATGGCCAGCCTGGTAGCTATTTATTAATACTCCCTAGTACTAAGACTCTTGGAGGAGATATAACCCCTAGAGAATAGAACTGCAGTGCAGTATCAACAATCTACCGTTTCAGCGACGTTGACGAATCTAAATCTGTTTTTAACTTGCTTGTACGACTGACTATACTCGTCTCTGACATACCAAAGAATATCTCAGCCGGTTAGAATGAATTATATCCCTCAGCGAAGACGTCATCGTGCCTTGTTGGCGAGCTAATTTATATATGGCTCCGGCCAATCATGCTGCCGACTATTTGTTGGTTCATCTTTCTTAACAAGGCCACCAGCAAGAATTGCGACTCACTCTTATACCACTTCGCTACAATTAAGCAACACTTCTCCTAACGCAATCCAAGATGGCCTTCTCCTCAACTCACGCAGTATTCGAGATCCCCGAAATCCGGGAGATGATTCTCCTCAAAGTGGACATGCGGACGCTACTTTGCATGCAACGAACATGTCGCTCCTGGTTAAGAACGATCAAGGAATCGCTGGCTATACAAAAAGCCTTGTTTTTTACACCTATCGAAAATACTCCTGACCAGGAAAAAGCTCAGAATCTCTTATTAGCAGAAGCATTTCCTCCCCTTTTCCAAGTAATCAACCCTCTTATCCCCGAAGACGCCTTTGGCTATGTATACGACAACACCTTCACCACGTTTGACATGCTGAAAGACCCCTCTATCGGGGCCGCGTACCTGCGACCAGAAGCAAGCTGGCGACGGATGCTCGTCCAACAGCCTCCAGTGCGCGATTTCGCAGTCATCATGAATACTACTGGCGGATACGGATACAACCATGAGTACTTTAAGGTTCCTGTAAGCGATCCTGGAACAAGTCTCCTGTGACATTATAAGTTACTAATCAATACACAACAGGAGGATCCAAGAGGGTTTACAGATGGCTTGCGTATGGGTGATTTCTTCGAGGCGCTGATGTTTGATGATGATCTCGACTATGCGATCTTCCGCCTGAAGCGTGTCACATGGTGGAAACGGACCTCCCAGCACGGACTATCAGTCTTGAACCAGATGGGGCAACTGATGGGAAAGACAGTTGACTCTGACATCGTCCTCACTCTTCGTGCCCATCCAGGTGGGAGTCATGATTCTGAGGATCAAAAGATAAGGGATGCGATTAGGGCTGCGTACCAGGTGTTGGGGATCCAGCCTAGGCTTTTCGGGAAGGCGGACCAATGGAGTCATTTCCCCTGGTAAATGTTTGCTGAGACTAAATGTTCGCGGTAGTCCTTCGGCGGCGCATATTACACGAGGCCCTTTATTTTGTCCCAAGGTATGAGTGCCTGGATGACCCTGTTGTCACCATGATATCACTTCCAGTAGGTGCAAATCACTCGGTGTTCATATCTAGCGCGAATCTCCACCCACCATTTACTTTCCCGGGCTCTGGTGTACCATAAAGAAATAGCAGAAGCCTACAGGTTCTTTCTATTCCAAGTGGGTTCTGAACTCATTATCCATGTCCCTGGACACCAAGATGACCAGACCTTACATAGCCTCCCCATTCAGTGCTTCTAAAAGCCAAGAAAGGCCATGCACTACTGCAAAGTAAGGGTTATTCTCTTAGGTTGATGGCTGATGTCGTTCCATCATCGGCCCATATGGCGTTACTGATAGGCGCCTATGGCAATGACAATCCAGGTCGCCTGACTATTGCTTGCTTCTCCGTCGCTCAGAGAGCGGCTGGAGACCTGGTACGTTGAAGCCAAAGTTCCCGAGGACTCCATAAGTATGGCATCTCATGCAATGTGGCCTTGCCTCATCTCCCTATGAAGTCCACCTCCTTTCGTCCACGGCAACCCACATGAGCGGATATTTATTTAACTGACCTTCAATTTCCTTAGCTTGCAGTTTCGGCAGCAAAACCGCGACTTACGCCTACGATCGCTTTTGAGGCACCCGAATTCATGGTTCATCTAGTGACATAGGAATGTTGATGGTAAATTCGATGACAAGATGAGTAGCGCTGTGAAGAGGTTCAGGAGATTGCTTTTGAGTGATACTGGCGATACGCTATCTGGGTTCCTTCGCATCCGATATCTCCGGCCTGTCTCATCTGAACGCCTTAACCTCTACTCGGATTTTAGACTCTTGTGATCAGTCAGACTGGCTCCAGTCGTGATGATCTGAGCCTAGAGTAGGCTATACTATCTATACTGATAGTAAGGAAAGACTCCCTACTCTACGAACTATACTGTGGATACTCCAGAAGTAGCAAACAGGAGTCGCCATGGAATTACGACTGAGGCCGAGGGACTATATACAGACCCCCGTTATCATTGTATCTAGCACTCTTAGTTTAGTGCCTCAAGTTCAATAACAATATATCACCCAAGTACAAGTTCACTAGTGAGATTCGCCTGTTACTCTTTGACTATTGAGTATACGTGTCTTGCCCAATCCTCTGGTAATGTCTCCTCCTTCTTCCCCCCAACAAACGGGGGCATTTGTCTCCCAACACACTTTATTTTATAGCGTCAGCATCACCGTCCCACCACCCACAACCATTATCAGATGTCTCGTAGGGTTAGTCTACGCTGAAAAGATTAGGTCGGCACTGATTTCGTCAACGACCAGATTCAGCATTGTTGTTGAGAAATGCCCACTCGTAATGTTCTTGAAGTAGTCATATACAGTTGGCAGGCATATGGATGTGCTGCCCTCATGCTTGCAAGGGGCTTTTTGACATCCTTCGAATCAGTGATTGATGCGCCAAATATCAAATGGTACGTGCTCGCCGAGATGTCCAACGATAATTTTGAGTTGAGTGAACGGATCAAATACGCCGGTGGTAATCATGCCCAGCAAATGAAGACTGACGCCATTAGTGCATGAAAGAGGAGGCCCGATAAGGTACTTTCTCTTCGCATAAAGTTTCTCAATAATAATGTTTGTTGGCGGAGGAGCCAGGTGGAGGTAGACTGACACATCGAGTTCCACTACCACGCTCCAGAAGGCATCGTACCCTGGTTGATCGTAAGAATGATAAATTTCTCCATTAGGTCCAGTCTGCTGAAAGTTGTTCAACAATGCGCCCTGAAAGCCTAGTCTCTCGACACATCGGCGTAACTCCTGGCCGGCTTGGACAGCATCGTGCATAGATAATGCAGTAAAAGCACCAAGCTTGTCTGGGTGGCCATTGATCTGCTCGTGAACCCAATTGTTGACCTAGGTCGCGTGGCTTTCGGCTTGTATTGGGTCTCTGATCCCCTGAATTCCGGGAGATGTCAATGAGATGATGGTATAGCCAACTCCGTGAGCATCAGAAAGACGTAGGCGCTCATCGTTGATGTCGCAGATCAGGCACAAATAACGCTCACGCTCAATTGGGTTAATGTAGCTTGCCGCTAGTAATTTGGACTTGGCCTCCATGCCAGGAACCTCAAATGCCTCCTCCGGAAATAATTTTGCCGAGCATCGTAACTCGCACGTACAAGCGTATATTGCCAAGAAGAAAGTTGTAGACCTATGTTTACCTGTTAAAAGGCATGGTAACTCTGCCTCACCTTCGCACTCAAGGGGACAGGTCAGGCGGTCTAGATGCACCGATAATGTTGGAAAGTCCTTCAATGACCTTTGCAGTGAGCGTATCAAAGTTTAAGTCATGTCTTCGACCTATAATAACCCACAAATCTAAGATGACATTCGATGGTAGCCGACACTGCGTGGCTATCATACATGTCAGTCAGCTGACTCCTTCATGCACCATGTATGATACCTGCAAAGCTATAAGTCAGATTTTATTCATCAGGATAGCGGGAAATGCCATGATTTAGCGGTGCCGATGGACGCTCATTCAACGTTCTAGATMTGACCCACAGCTAGCTGCTGTGTACCCTGTCTCCTCGTTTGTGTAACCGCATGACCTGATGTCTGGGCTCATGACGTGGCCGGGCACAAAGCAAGTATCATATGCGTGCAGACAGATAAGTAATATTTTTAAGTTCAGCAGAAAAAATAGGAGAAAAAAAAATGTGCATTGGATGTGAATTACCAAATAGATGCTTTCCTTCAAGTGGCAGTAAAAGCTTTTAATGTTAGCCTCTAACAGATAGATTTGACCTTGTTACGTATACCTGAAGCTCTTTGCAAGATATTTGCCTTCGCCTACAGCAATAACTCAGGTTTTTGTGCTGCATTGTTTCGTAGTTTGATAGGGCCATGGTGCTTATTCAGGGCAGTAGCATGCCAGCCCAGGGAACAGAGGAAGGCCCGTTCCCAGTCGATGTGTCTATCGCTACCGAGCCGAATAACATCGAAGCAGTTCCCACGCTGCTGAAGGAGATTACAAACGGTTTTGATGTCTTCGCTGCTAGTAATGAAGGCCGGGAAGACTTGGTCATCAAATGCCGCGCCTTGGTCCAAGCTCTGGAGACTCCCCGAGAGACCATGATCCATCATTGTTGGGCACAGGTAAGTGCCACTTGATCGGTAGCAAGCAGATCTGACAAGATGAACTGGCAAATAGACTGGTGCAATAGCTGGCCTCAACTTCGGTGTGGACTCAGGATTGTGGATACTAATGGCACAGAACGGCGACAAGCCACAGAAAGTCGACGATTTGGCGGCAAATCTTGGGATTGATAACGTGCTTCTGAGTATGTTGCACGGTACCCTAGCACCCTAGTCTGGCTAACAGCCCAACAGGTCGTCTAATGCGACACCTCAGTGCTATGGGGTATCTCATCGAGATTGGGGAGGACGAGTACAGGTTGACGAATTACACGAAGGCGATGAGCATCCCCGTTATTGGGAACAGTTACCTTGCCATGTAAGCACCATCTCCCAGCATGCATCCGTATCACAGAACTGCTCACATGAGCAGGCTATCTTGCACAAGTGCTGGCCCCATGAGATTCCACGAGTTCTCCCGAAAGCGAGGGTGGGTGAATCCCACGGATGCCAAAGATACGGCAATGATGTATGCCTACGGAACAAATTTGGATACGTTTGCGTGGCAGCAATTTCTGGGCTATGGTACACACTTTAATGACCACATGGGCAGCTACGACCTTGGTTGCTTGCCGTGGATGGACCCTGGTTTCTACCCGGTGAAAGAGAGGCTGATCGACGGTGCCGATACCGATCCAGAAGCTCCGTTTCTCGTCGATATTGGCGGCAATGTGGGCCATGATCTGGCGCGATTTCACAGCTACTACCCTAAAGTCCCAGGGAAGTTGATCCTTCAGGATTTGCCTGTGGTAATAGGCCAAATTCGGGACCTAGCTCCGGCTATTATCCGTATGGAGTACGACTTTCATACGGAACAACCCGTAAAAGGTAAGGCCTCTGGGATGCCACAACCTTTCTTTTCTTGAGGATAAAATGCAACTCACACGTTTAGGCGCCCGAGCCTATTATATGCGCAATTGCTTGCACGATTGGCCAGACGATGTGTGCGATAGCATCCTGGCACGAGTCAAAGCGGCCATGAAGCGCGGATATAGCAGGTTATTAATTCATGAGCACGTGATACCAGAGACAGGTGCCTACTGGGAAGCCACAGCACTCGATATGGTCATGTTGACGCTCCTATCTGCTCAGGAACGCACCCGCGCTGCTTGGTACAACCTCATTGAAACAAGGGCAGGTCTTAATATCGTTAAGATCTGGAGCGGTGGGAAAGGTTCCCAGAGTCTAATTGAATGTGAGCTGCCCAATGATGGAATGGATTGAGCTTTGTCGACGTCTATCCGCCAGTCTCATTTGTGACGAGTGCGCGACTTTGTATCAACTGCGGGGTATCCATGTCTGGTAGATATGGATTAGGGCTGGGCCAATTAGCTGAATTCGATCCCGATAACATATAAGGCTCAAATTTGGACCGGTTACAGTTTAGACATTTTTCTTCATGCATTGGAATGTCATGTCCATACTGCGGTGGTTGGTGAGATCCTAATTGCCAAAATTGGGCGAATTTTTGACGGGCAAGATTGGCTGCTGCTATCATCTAATACCATCTTTTGGTGTGGGGCGGCCGCTGGCGACGAGTAGCTTGTTTCTGGTTGACATTTGGGCGCTAACGGCCTGGGGGTTAAGCCTACTGGTGGGCCCTGAAAATGTTTAGTGAAGATCATAGAGACAAGTTCGGTTGAATTAGCCAATAGCAGTTCAACTACGAGAAGCACCACTTAAACTTAATCCAAAGGATACGTCTAGCCTTCGCAGTAAGGACGTGCCAGTTGATTTGAATAKGCTTATTATTTCCTCTGTACTCTGACTACCATGGGACTTGACGGTAAGAAGCGGTGAGTTGTAATCTCGTGTAACAGCCTTGATCGCTCCTGATATAGATATCTTACCGCATTTTCTCCCCAAAATGGTGTGCACAATACAATATCAATGTATTGAATAAGTAAAAAGAGGTGCGTCCTTTGTCCTCTCACATAACATCTTCTTTTGTCGACTTTTCTCCGTCAATGATGCTCTCACACCGCGCCAAGCGAAGTCTGTCCTGGCTTTCAGGCCATCCCTCTGCTGAGCCAGGCTATCCAAATGGTGTACTGGAAATGGACAAGGCTGAAAATTGGCTTGTCCGGCCAGACGTACTTCCCATCATCAAAGACGCAGTCTCATCGAATCTGAAATACCAGCATCTCTCATACTCCCAAGAGCTAGGTGGCCCTCCGGAGCTTTTGCATATTTCAGCATCATTTTTCAATCGCTTCTTCTCTCCTCAAGTTGCCGTTTTACCCGAGCACATCGTTACGGGCACAGGGTGCGCATCTATTCTCGAGAGTCTTATCTTTTCAATTTGTGATGCGGGAGACGCTTTACTTCTGGAGGCACCCATGTGGGATGGGTTCGCGGTCACGTCAACGCTGAGAAACAATGTGCGAATAATTCCCGTGAAATACTCGAGACGGCCTACAAATGTAGCAGACTTTATACGGCACTATAATGATGCGATGGAACAAGCAACATGTCCAATTCGGGGCATCATCGTTTGCAATCCCCACAATCCTCTTGGTCAGATTTATCCTACTCCATGGTTGGAAGCGCTCCTTCAATTTTGCGAGAATCATAAGATTCATTTTATATCCGATGAGATATACGCTCTTTCGAATTTTGGTGCGATTCGGGCCAGTCAGAATGTCAGCAAACCCAGCATCGTGATTGGGCCAGAAACAACATTCACATCGGTACTGGCGGTGGACCTGAAGCGACTAGAGATCAATCCCGCTCGCGTTCATGTAGCTTACAGTATCAGCAAGGATCTTGGTAGCAGCGGGGTCCGGCTGGTTTGTCAATACCTCAATGATTATACAGGTGCAAACTAAAGCTTACGCATTCGCAGGGTTATCTCGTTACGCAGTCAAATCCTGGGATTCGCCTTGCACTCGCGGTCCTCAACAGATTCAAGGTGTCTAATATAGCATCGATAGCCGTTGCTGCTCTCCTTTCCAATCTTCAGACGCTCGAAAATGTACTGAACCGAAGCAAATCTTCCCTGCGCATGGCTGCGGAGGTGGTACATGATTTCCTGTCATTCCATCAGGTTTCATTTTATTCCCCAGTTGCGGGATGCTTCATGTGGGCGCGTATTGGAGGGGAACTAGCAACAGAGGAAACAGATGCAGAGCTAATGGAAAAATTAGCAGCGGCACGAGTGGCCGTTGCTTCTGGCTCCCAATACAATGGAGAACCGGGCTGGTTCAGACTCACGTTTGCTCTACCGCGAAAGGATTTGATGGAAGGACTGCGTCGAATTGAAATTGCGATGGAAGCAAAACGACATTGGAAGCCTGAGGAAAACCAACTGTGAAGCAACTGGCATTGAGCATAGGTTTCAGCGAGGTTGTGCACTGTGTTGATCGCTCTCTAGCACGTCTACACTTGACATGGTGCAGACATAACCTGTGTCCCTTCAGTTATATTTCATTTGCTTCCCGGGCCAATGTAGTGGCATGTTACTTGAACATCAGGAGTATTTCCATCCATAAGCCTGCGCCCAGATAGCAATCACACCGGGTTATAATACTACTGTTGTTGATTTCCGGTCAGTGCAATTTTAGGTTCAGAACACGACAATTGAATTGGTGGGGAAGAAAGTATATAAGCTGCAGCTTCTCTCTGGCGTCTTAATTGGCTATGCAGTCTCTGGTCAAAACCATAGGAATTGCGAGGGCCTGAGCCTGCACGCCTGTCTACATGTTTTGAAGTAGTACAGGATACGAGTTGATAGCTGGTCTCCAGGTAAGTACATGCTGGCTCTCTAAAGAAATGTGCGGGGGCAGAGTAGGGGGGGAAGAGAACTTCATGGCAGAGCCATTTAGTAGGATACTGGGCCTAGCCAGATACAGGAATACTCTAGTCGTAAGACCAATCTTCAGCCCCAACAGTATATCCGTTTGATAGCTTTAGCCCTATTGGCAAGCCTCGGGTGTACTTGTGAGTGTATGCCTCCCCAGTTCGTTTGGAGACTAGCTCATCAATGTGCATATACAGATTATAACTGCTCCTAATCAGACTAGCCCGGTTCAAGGGATCGGGAGACGCACGCATTCATCTCTTCAATAGTCAATTTCTCTTGCTCGCTCTTCACCGTGTAGACTGGATTATGAATATTGCTGGAAAATCCTGCATAGAGTTAACAGCGCATAATTTGGGATTTTCTAGAGTACTCGTGGCTTACCGATCCGCTCGTTGATATTGTATGAGGCTCTCGCAGCTGCTGCCTGGACCTTGGTTGCTCTTGGGAGACGAACTGCCTCATAGATAGATAGTGACTCAGACACATCTCCCTTGAAATATTTCTTGCTGAACAGAATACCTAAGGCAGCTGCGTCTTCGAGTGCCATACAGGCTGCTTGGCTTTGGTGAGGCATCATCTGGAAGTCTGTTACTGTTGATCCCGCTCACTCGGCTGACCTCAAGGCTGTCACATACTGGGTGAGCTGCATCGCCTAGCAAGCAGACCATGTTTCTTGTAATGTACGGATACGGCTCACTGCAAAATGGCCAACCTCGTTGGTTTAATGCCACTTACGTGTTAGGCCGAACTTACTGTATCCATAAGCGCCATGGCTGAATTTCTTTGCCAAGAGCCAAATGCCCGCGGACTTGCGCATCAAGTTGAGGGTATGGCGCGAGCAGTTCGTCCACTGACCGATCATGTCCCCCCCAAGCATGATTCACGTAGTCGCCTTTCTCCCGCGGAAAGAAGCAGTAGTAAGACAACAACTTGCCTCCTCGGCATGGAGAGAGAACGATTTTGTCCCAGGCCTCCCCGTGGCCGCCCCAGAACTGCAGCGCATTGTCTTCAGAGAAGTCAACGAGGCCGGCCGCGATCGCATCTTCAGTGACCACGTTAGCATGCAAGCAACTGGACTCGGCGGGCCGTTTATCAGGCCAGATACCGAGAATACCACGAACAGCAGATCCGATACCATCCGCGCCGATAATGAGATCATGGTTGGCTGTTTCTCCGTTATCAAATTCAATTAAACCGGTACGAAAATCGATGCTCTGGCACTGATAGTAAATATCAAATTAGCTGCGGAAGGGTCTTCACGGCGAGTAGGTCTGTTTGTGGTGACTGCACACCTTACCTTGTGATTTATAAACAGCCTCGCTGGTAGCCCTTGGCCCTCTCCGAATGCCGAATCCTTCATCATGCTGTGCATACGCTGTCGCTGAAACATGTAGTATACATACCCCCACCGTTCCTCATAGTCACTCAGTTCATACACACTCAAGATCTTGCCCGTCGTCCAATCGCGGCTGATGAGCTTTTGTAGGATGACCCCATCGCCTTTGGCTACGTCTACACCCCACTCATGGAGCCAGCGCGTACCATTTGCTGCACAGGAGAGAGATGCACCAGCTTCACCAACGAAATCGGCACGTTCGTAAATAGACACCTTATGGCCGGCACGGCGGAGGGCGACTGCCGCGGACATTCCTCCAATCCCACCGCCAACAACGGCGACGTCCAGCTGCCTCCAGCCAGGAGACGAGATTGACCCCATGGGTGGGAATACGTTGTCGTTTAAGAAACGAGTCTTGTAGTTGCTCTTGGCTGAAAGGTGGTCTATCGGGATATGATGTCGTTGCAATATTGGTAGGAGCCAATGCGTGGTCAAGGTCGTTTTATGACCGAATATCTTCGGTCGTCTAGCTCAAGTAATACATACTAGTTAACTTTGCGGGCTCTCCTTGTGGACACTGATGAAAGCGAGTGGCAAGGGGGTCAGTTGACACAGCTATGCTGCCTATGCATTTAATTTTTACGAGATATGATGATCCACCTGTCTATCGGTAACCGCATTCCCCACAACTTGGCGCTCCAGCCGTAGCCATCTTTCTGTAAGGTATGTTTTTGGTGGGTTGTAAGGCAAACAAGCCGGTTCTGCAAGGAGCTCGCAAGCGATGTCAAAGTTTTGCTGCTCAAAAGCACGAGCCCCGACTTGTCCTTAAGATCTTGAAAAAAAAGGTTTAGCTTCTCGACTATATTTAGATGGTTTCAATCAATATCATCGGCTCGTTGGTGCTGTGCCTCAAACGGCCGTTAGGTTTCTGGGAGCAAGACAACCAGTCTTCTTTACAATACAGACTACATCAGCGTATGAAAGTCTACAAAATTCTCTACGTGATGCTGCGATCAGTGGAACACAAGGGTAAACTGTTTTAAGATACAGGACAGGAAACGTTATCGAATGAGAGAATCTCCGATACGGGGCGAAGTAAGCCGTTGACTTGCTAGTTAGGCCACATCTAGTCACCCAAGGTCTCAGGCGAGATATCGCACTATTCCGTGTTGGTACCGCATAAATCGTGTAACGTTGCCGCAGTTTCTTATGGTGGTCGCAGACAAGCCTAACTCAGGTCTGCCTATGGATCTGCTAGGAGGAGCGGTGAATGAACCTAAAACGTAACTTATGCGCAGAACGTAGGACAGCAGAGAGACCTGCTATAATCACTATCTCTGTGAGGGCTGCAAAATGCGTTATTCAAAGCGATTGGGTACGGTTCTATCACCTCTCAGGCAGTTGTTGAAGGCTAGCAGATTGAGTTTGAAAACGTATCTTAGACTTTAATACACTTATTCAGCTGTCAGTGGAGGGCTTTGGAAGATCATTAATGTAAACAATCACCCAACATATGGACGCTTTCCGTAAGAAGAGCAAAGCTCGGAATGCTTAAGTATCTATCTGTCAGACGAGAATTTAACGCGATCGAGATTTACGAGCTTTTAAGTGCTGTCACGCCTATATATAAGTGTGTAACTGCCAAGGGTAAATTAGTAATAGACCTATATCTCCCTATTAAAAGCCAGAGTAACTCTCCCTTACCTCTATATAGTTGGAGAGATAGGTCAGGTGAGTTAGAAGTATTAACATTCTAAGATGCTTTACCGACTTTTATAATGAATGTATAAAAGTCTAGATATATCTTTAGCCTATAAAATAAGATTTCGCGGCAGCTAATAGCATATAACTATCGTATGTAACTCCTTCATGCATAATGCATGATACCTGCAAAGCTACAAGCCCAGATACTATTTCCTAGCAGTGGGAAAGGCCAAGACTTAGAGGCGGCGATAGATGCCTATTCAACATTCCTGCTACTACGAAGTTGATATCGAACGAATGAGTACGGAACCAAAATAGGATTGCACTACTAAACGAGCCAGAGGAAGGAACGAAGGAAGGAAGAAGCTACCAGGTCGGCGGAGATCCAGGAGCGCTGGAGGTCGACCTCCACACACCTGCTATGGCCCCAGCTAGCTGCCATGGAACCTTGTCCTCTTGTTTGTGTAACCGTATGGCCTGATATGCAGTGTGGTGATGTATCACCAGTCTGATCGTTCGTTCAGATTAGGATGTAAAGGAGATCGGTAAGTTATGACGATCCTTAACTCGCTTTTACTACAAATACTGAGGAATGGCAACGGTCACATCTCGGTATCAAGAACTGTGAAATCCCTGCAGCTTATTGCGCCCGTATTCTCACTTAAGTACTGGGAATCTTTCTTTGTCTCTCAGCCCCTAAATTCTCAGCCTTCAACCCTTGTCACTCAACGTTATTCAGTCGAGAGCTTTGCCTCGAGTTGTTAACAGAAGAAGACCAGGCGAGCAGTGATATCCTTCATCCCACCACCTAATTTTACCCTCATTATCGGCGAAAATGCTGTGGGAATCTCTGGACAAGCAACAGGCAGTCTCTGTCCTAGCGCTTGGAATCAGTACGGTGCTGGTCTATCACCTCTTCTGTACATACTGGCAACTGCAGCACATCCCCGGCCCCCTCATCGCCAAATTCAGCGACTTCCATCGCTTCATCCTAGCGCGCCGTGGCCTCATCCACCTGTACCAAGCCTGCGCTCACCAGCGATTTGGTCCCGTTGTGCGTTTCGGTCCCAACCTAGTATCCATTTGTGACCCGGAGGCCATCCACACAATCTTCAACCTGCGGACCGGATTTGCCAAGGCATGTCATTCCCATCTCGGCCTAGATGCCTCTCTCACTGTTTATTGAGGCAAACCTCATCTGACCAATACAGAGCAAAATGTACCGCGCCTTCCGGCCATGGACCACTGACGGCCTACTCCTCTCCGTCTTCACCGCCGAGGACGGCGCAGTAAATCTACAGATGAAGCAACACATCTCCGTGTACTATTCGCTCTCGTATGCTGTATCCTCGTTCGAGCCAAGAATTGACAGTGCTATACGAATGTTCTTTGACCAGCTTGATTGCCAGTTTTTGGCCACGGGAGCACGCTTTGACCTGACGAGTTGGCTTAAATTTTTCTCCTACGATAGCATGGGCTTGATGACATTCTCCCGCGCGTATGGGTACATGCAGCATGGGAGTGACCCATACGGTATCATGGCGGATGTCAAGAGGGCAAACCTGATTATTGGACCGGTAGGTTATACACCGCGGAGGACGTCCAAATGGAGCAAGGCTCAACTATTAGCAGATGACGCAGATACCGTGGCTCGATTGGCTCTTACATAAGAACCGACTAGCAAATCTCATCAAACGTGAATCCATTGCCCCTCTGCTGGAATACGTTATGGCGCGTATCTCAGAGCGTCGGACCGAGAGTCAGAACAGTCATAACAAACTCTGCAATGCAAACGCCGACGGACCCTGTGCCGACGGCGATTTCCTCGGGTATTATCTACAAGCCCAGGAGAAAAAGTCCGAAAGTGTACCCCTTCGATTTGTGTCAACGTGGACCTTCGCCAATATTCTGGGAGGGGCCGATTCCACGGCTGCCACGCTTCGATCTGTGGTCTGTTTCCTCGTGGAACACCCTGAAGCACTGGAAACAGTACGAGCCGAGCTGCGGGATAAGCAACGCACTACCACGGGGCTCTCTCTTCCCATTCCTAAGTGGCACGAGCTGCAGAACCTCCCCTTCCTGGATGCTTGTATTAAAGAGTCACTCCGGCTTGATCCTGCATTCGCTATGGGTCTCGAACGGGTGGTTCCTACAGGAGGAGCGACAATCTGTGGTCATTTCTTCCCTGGAGGTACCGTCGTAGCCATGAGTCCCTATATCACTAATCGCTATCGGCCAACATGGGGGGATGATGCGGACGTATGGCGTCCCCGTCGCTGGTTGGAAGGCGAACCGTCGCATATTAGAAAACTTGAGGCCAGTTTGCTGAGTGTAAGTCAGATGCAGTCCAGGTCCGTGGTACGTTCAATATCTGATTGTGCCAGTTCGGGGCCGGGGCACGAGGTTGCCTGGGCCAGCACGTCGCCATGTTTGAAATCAAGAAGTTTGTATCAGCCCTATTCATGAACTATGATGTGAGTGCTGAACCAAGAAACCTATGATATATACTTACGTTTTAGATTGATCTTGTCGAGCCTCGAGCGAAGTTCAATAAGTACTATTGGGTCGCAATACCAGAGAGTGTGCAGGCTACGGTCAGAAAACACGACAAGTTCAACAAATAGGACCTAGCCCAGAGTAGGTCTGTAAAAGTGGCTCTTTGGTACATTATCAACTGTGAATTCACAAGAAACTACTCTGTGCAACTGATTTAACGCAGGGCTGCCAAAAATCCTCGAGTATGATGCTTCATCTCTGTGAACTTGGAACATTAATTATGTGAGCTAAAAGCTATGATTTGTTTATATAACTCGTTTAGTTCTTTGTCAAAGATCCACATAAACCATTGGCCCTAAACCTACAAGACGGCTCTCACAGCTGCCCCAGGATCCCCTCCTATCGAGTTAGAACCCTCACTCCCACCATTACATTAGGTAAGGACAGTGCCCCCTGCGGCCTAGGAGGGAATAGGGATAAAAGGGTATTATCTAGTTCATCTCATTATGCTGTATTTAACTATACTAGTTATAAAGTCCTAATCTAGTATGATTACAAAACCTATGTGCACCTCTTAGGATTAGCTTTACTGACTAGGGCTACGGACGACGGTCCATGATGAGACCTTACAATAACCTCAGGTTACGGACCGGAAGAGAAAGACTATATAAGGATATTCACTACCATTGTATCTAGGCGTCTTAGTTTAGTTCATTGCATTCAATATCAATATTTCACTTGAGTATAAGATCACTAGTCTGATTCATCAGTTACTCTCTACTATTGAGTATACGTACTAAATAGGCTTGCTTCTATCTTTGCTGCTATCATTCTTGTGTAACATTTGGATTGTCCTTGGTCATGTTCGGATCATTGTGCCTCAGGCCTCAGCAAGTATAAGTCTATAGACCTGTACGGCTATAGCACCCTGAAGCCCAAGGCAGTGACTAGCAGAGGACAGCAAAGACGGATCCCAAGGTGTGACATCCAGGCCACCTGGATTACAGTGGTCACTAATTAGCACAAGAGCTGCATTCAGTGTCAGTTCGGGTGAGTTCAGAACCAGTCGGCACCGAACCGCTGCGATTTTAATTTGAAACTTCAGAAATCAGAAGTTCAGAACCCACCCTGATCCAATCTAGAGTTGCGCAACTGAACCGCTAAAATAGAATCCAACCCTCACCGAACTCGCAGTGGTGAGGGTTCGGTGCCTAGTAGAGAACCACACCGGCTGTGGTTTCTCTACCCCCTAAATCAAATCCATTCAGTTAAACTATTGGTTATGGGTTTTGCAGGTTTATCAGAATAGGTACAATCTTTTTTACTTAGTTAATCAACGAATTTTTAGGATTTCCCTAGAAATTTTAATATCACTAGATAGCCTAGATATCAAATATTGATTTAAATATATCTAGTGGTCGCTAAGATAGAAAGGAATAATCATTTTTGTCATAGGTTGCTATAAAAGTGGTGTATATATATATATATATTGTTATTCGCCACATTCGGGTAGTATTGTTGGAAGACTGATCCTTCGATGCTTCGGTGCTTTGATGCGTCGATTCTGCGATTCGTCAATTCTTTGATCCTTAATCCTTCACCTGCAAGTTCTCTTATTGTTGCAAAGTAGTTTTTAAAGAATTGCGATTCGCAGGAGAACTCGCATTCTATGCTGGTCCATATAGCAGGGAAATTTCGGTAAAAATACCTGGCCATCTTGTTACCTAAGTGAACGTGCCATATGCACATATATGTAGTTGCCCAAGTGTAAGAAATCTGTCCAATGCGCTACTGTACGGGTCTGGATTACCGAGATGCTAGGCATCTTGCATTGAAAGTTGATCTTCAGCCTCGTGGGAGACGCATCATTCATGCATGACATGCACATGAAGTAATATAATTTAGCGGGCCCGACCTTAAGATGAAAGGGTGGCTATGCCTACCCATGTAGGAAAAGCATTCCCTAGGTCGCTCACCATGGTAAAGCTTGGTGGTTCATTCTTCCGAACTTTATGCATAGTTCCGTTCCAGAAGCACCACTAAAAGTAACCATAATATCCTCATCTTATCTATTATTGACTGATTGACTGCAGAATGACGTACCATCTAAGTCATATGGGATATGTAATGAACCTAATATATAAGTAGCTATCATTGCTCAGATTAATTATGGAATATGTCTCAGTCTTGATGTAAGACAGTGTTAATGATTCGTCTTGATCTTGGCTTCCACCACGTTCCTTGCAGATCTCAACGAGAGTCAGCAGGAAGCTGCAAGAGTTCAACAAAGACAACATAAGATGCTTCGCCGAATCATAACAACCCATGATCCTAAAAGCGGCCGAGCTGTCTTTAGCGACGCCATTAGTGAACAGGTATCATTCACTGGATTCCCTGTTCCACCGGGCAAGCCACCGGCGACAAACTATGCTCTGGCCTACAATACCAATGTATTCCCTGTGCAAGGGCTCTCCCCTCCAAGTTCTAAAACCCCGGAGTCCAAAGCCAATCTCGACATTAAGCACTATCAGTCCCAGCTCTCGCAGCCAATGCCTTTGAATCCGCCCAACGGCACATCCTGCACCATTATTGAGGTACCCCCGGGTTCAGCAGTTCCGATGCACCGAACAACAACTCTCGACTATACTGTTATAATAGATGGCACTACAGAACTAGTCCTTGATTCCGGAGAGAAAAGAATATTGAAAAAGGGTGATGTAATTGTTCAGCGAGGTACAGCTCATTCCTGGCGGAATTTGACTGAAAAGGATGACAATTCTGGTGTTTTGCGTATCTTCTTCGTGTTTCTGTCTATAGAAAAGGTGCAAGTGGAAGGTGGAAAGGTGATTGATCAGGACTTGACTATGTCTCTGAATGACGCTTAATTTATGCAGCAGGGGCATATCTTGTCAATTATTCCATCTATTATTTTCAATATCTTTGCGCTAGTCGTTTTGAGGTCAACTGGCAGTAGTCACTCACTCTGATCACACTGTACTTCATAACGCTCTCAATGGTCTAGCTTTCACCACTCTTTATAGTCAATACACAATTATTATGTTCAGTGTGTGTCTTAAAAGTATAGCAATTCGTCTGAACGGAGCTGCTCTGGTCTAAATTTCGGAGCAATTATAGTGCCAATGCCAATGCCATTCTCAGTGCCATTCTCAGTGCCGTCTGGCTCGCTCTGCATATCTACAGCGACGCGGACCTCAACCAGCGCCTGCAGCCCGGGTTCGACCGGGCCATCATCCACGATGCTGCACAAGTTGGTCCGCTGCAATTCAATCTCACCAAATTGGTCTCCTCCCCTCTCCTGCAGTCGGTTTACTCTGAAGTTCTCCGGATGCGCATCGCCCTCATGTTGAAACGGACTCCCACACAGTCCGATGTCCGGCTGGGACCATGGCAGCTAGACAAAGGCCGGTTTATCGTCCTCTCAACCCAGGTTGTAGCTCACGACGAGGCGGTCTGGGGCCCAGACCGGACGCAAAATGGCAAATACCCGTGGAGATTGTGGACCGGCCAGCAGGATGGTTGCCCTCTGCCGACAAAATGTTCTATGGCGTCGGTGCCATGCCGCCCCGGACCAATCCGTTCCGCATTCGGCGGAGACAGAGCTGTTGACTTGTCAATCCATGATGATGAGATAGTAGTTGGAAGGAACAAGGTGGACGCATTGAATTCACTCCCTCGTCTGTAGAATAGAAACTGCACTAATGGACGTAGTCTGCCAACGCCGTGTCCGTCCACTCCCACAGCTGCTTCGCCAGCGCATCATCTTTCGAGACCTTATCCAACTTGGATGACAGGATCCCGACGGGCTCGTAGAACTGCCCGTTCTTCAGGTTCTCCTTGGGCGTGGTGGAAGCCCACAGCTGGTTGTACGCACCCTCCTCCGGTTTCATCAGCTTCCCCATATTCGTCACATAGACAAAGGCGCGGTTCGCCCAGCCCAGATTGTCCACCAACCCCGTACTAACGACGCCGGGATGGACGGACACGGACGTGATGGACGGATAGCGACGGGCCAGCTCGCGCGCATACAGGATATTGGCCAACTTGCTCTGGCCGTAGCGGATCCAGCCCCCAAACGCACTGAAGTTCTGCTCACTCTTCAGGTCCGAGAAGACAATTCCTGCGCCCGGGTGCATGCGGAACCCCAACGAGGTGAGGATGACGACGCGCACATCGGCACCGGGGAGTGCGGCCGTCTGCTGCAGGAGCGGCAGACACTTATGGATTAACAGCGCGTGGCCTAGGTGGTTCGTTCCGAATTGGACCTCGTAGCCGTCCTTGGTCTTTCCCGGCGGCACCGCCATGATCCCGGCATTGCACATAAGCAGGTCGAGGCGGGATTCCTGGGCCAGGATAGCCTCGGCCGCCTTCTTGACCGAGTCGAGGGAGGCTAGATCACAGGCTAGAAACGATACCTTGGTCCCTGATTTCTGCGCCTGTTGGATCACAGCGTCGGCACTCTTCGCTTTCCGGCCGCTGATGTAGATGTGCGCAGGAGAGTGCTTGGCGAGGTGGATGGCCGCTGCTGCTCCGAGACCGGCCGTTCCTAGGCGTTGTCAATAATCAGGCACCAATAAGGTACGAATACCTCCGGGTAAAGTTCATAAGGGACAGACCGCCAGTGATCAGGATGACCTTGCCCGAGAGGTTGGGGATGTCCTTCTCGGGGGAGAACGAGACGCCAGCCATGATGCGTAGGATGAAGCTGCCTTGACAACAGCAAAATGGGGAGTGACGATTCTTGTAAAGTCGACAGATGAAATGGAATTCAGAACATTGATAGGGGAAATGAACACTCGCGATGCCGTCCTTTGTTCGCCGAAAGAGGAAAGTCACCGAACACTTGAGTTGTCCCGACCCCGATCCGCAGTCTACCAGGGGCTTATGTTCATCCGCAGGCCGAGTATGGCAATTTAAAGCAACGTCTACCATACAAGTCAAGTCTAAGACGACAAAAAAGTAAACAAGCGCCGTCCTGAACCCATGTAAGCACCAGGCGCCTCTATCACACTTCACTTGTATTGCTTTTCACGCTACCCCTAATCCGTGAAATTGTACTTCGCGAGTACCTGCGACACCATAACGGGGGCTGCATTTCTTCTGACGCTGACCATAACCGTCCTTCCTCCTTACGGGTCGCGTCGACAACTAATTGCGACGCGTGACAGTATCTCTCCTACAGTAGCCTTGTTAGCATGACGTTTCCTTCCCTCTCATCATTAAATTTTCTCGTTCGAACCCTAACTCGAAAATTGTCTAACCGGGGATAACTGTTGCGGAAGGTAATACAAACATAGTCATCACAACTACCTTATCTAATAATTTATGACTTATGACTTTTATTTCCCTCTGTTGTTGTTTCCTACGCCTTCTGTACCTATCCAATGTTCCATAGCAATATCATCAAGGATACGATGAATTTCATCGAATTCTAAGAGTTATCTACAGTATGTTGGTTCTGCCAGGGATTCAGAAGAGTAGTTCTAGGATTGCAGGAGAGAATTGCTCCCTGGTCCAGGAGTCATATAGTGCATTCAGGTCATCACGTTGCCTCAAGTACAAGTACGCAGTTATTCTCTCCTAACATACTGGGCCAGGCTAGGAAGAGTGATATAATTTTAAGTTTCTCCGCGGAGTTCTTGTCGTACATGTCGTTTTTATAAGAACAGAAGAGGGATTTTTGTGCTCCGCTCCCTCAATCAAGGATGATCATTTAAACAATCTTGATTCTATTGCAATTTTGCTCGAGCAGAAATATTTTCACAGCTGTGTAGTTTAAGAGCCCGATTTTGACGACAATGTCTAAACCATGTGAGACATCCAGACTTGCTAGTATAGCTTTCCTCAATAAAGTCATGCTCAGAGCACTGTTAATGGGGGTGATCCTGGTGATGGAGGGGCGGAAAATTTTGTCTGGATKAAAACCTTCTGCATACCAGGGTCACGCTTATCAAATAAATCATAAACTCTCTCCATGTCCTCGAGCTTGAACCGATGGGTGACCATATCCAGTGGGTGGATCTTGTCCTCCTGAATGTACTTCAATAGTTCTTTCCAGTATTTTTGTACAGGAGCTTGTCCATTGCCATGGAGCTTGATTCCGGTCTCCATTAAGGCACCGATGTTGAAGTGATTACACTGCATTGCAACGTCAGTGGAGCAGATTCACCATAGGAAAGGTACCACATACATAACTAGCATATACGCCTGTGATACCACAGTGCCCGAACCCACGGACAGACATAAGCATTTCATTGACCAGTTCAGATGTATCCGTTTCCATGCCGAGTAATTTCTGAAAGTAATGGGCCCATCCTTTTTCATACTCACCAGCAGCACACTCAATTGCCACATCAGGTCCGCGGCCGTCGCACATTTTCTTTAATGTTGAGGGAACAGATTCACCCTTTGGGAGGTTTGCAAAGTCAATTGTCTCCAGCTCTGGTAGAATCTTCTTGATAAAGTCTAGTCGCCATTTTCCCTGGCCGCCGTCAATGAGAATAACCCTCTTAGCACCATGAAAGAAGCTGAATTCAGCTGCCATTTGGCCAACTGGGCCAGCACCCCAGATTGCCACAGTGTCACCCTCCTTAACCCCAGTGTCGACAACGGCATTCCAAGATGTTCCCAGCACATCAGAAAGATAGAGCCCTTTTTCATCAGGAACATCATCAGGCAGCTGAAGGAGGTTCACATCGCCACAAGGGACGCGAACATATTCTGATTGCCCACCAGCAAAGCCCCCAGTGAAGTGGGAGTATCCAAAGAAGCCTGAGACTGAGTTCAGTATAACAAACTTACCAAGGTCACCATGGTTGTTTCAGGAGCGAACATACCGGATGTTCGTTTCCCATACAGCTTAGCCTCACTCTCTCCCGTATTGGTCCGCTCACACATTGTGGCTAACCCCTGCTTGCAGTAATAACATTGTCCACAGGCAATTTGGAACGACGCCACAACGCGATCGCCCACTTTAACCGTCTGGACGCCCGGGCCCACACTAACGACAATACCGCAAAACTCATGGCCGAGGATATCACCTTTCTGGAGCTCAGGGATGGCCCCTGAACGTCGATAACGGATAGCGCGTCAGAAGATCCAGTGACACTTTATGCAGAGCCACGACATACCGTGGTACAGATGCAGGTCACTCCCACAAATAGTGCTGCCTGTGACCTTGACTATGGCGTCACCTGGATCAATGATTTTTGGGCTGGCTGTCTCCACTATAACACACCTTATATTAGAAAGGAGCTCGAATTATCTCAGATGCTCGAAATGAAATGAAGATCACTGACCGACTTTAACTGTACGGTTCCCTTGCCATGTCAACGCTTTCATTGTATGGCTTGGGTCGCCATATTTCTCCCCGTAATTGCCGACATGTGCGGTGATCGTGGTGGACATTGTTTATTTCCACAGAGAACTACTGCTTGAGTCGATTTCCTGTTTCTTCGTCTTGACAGGTGGGATTTCATCAGCTGAACTTTGTGTGAAAGTCGCAATGAAGGGATGCTATTAATTATCTTGTCTTCAGTGTCCCTGACATGATGTCTAAATCACTAGGTTTATATCTCGGCAAAATCTAAGTTGAGATTATGAACCTCACCTTGATGTCATACAAGTTATTAAGCATATGAAGACGTAGCTGGTGTGCTCAGCCTCAATCTTTTGTTCTAGACTGGTTATGGACCATTGAATAATTATTTGATCATGGGGGGTTCCGTTGAACACATTATTACGCTACTATTTCTACTACATCTGGAGTAGTTGTCCAGACGCCTTCTTTAGGTTGACAACTTCCTGACCAGTGAAACTTGGACACGGAAAACAGGTGGAGTGAGGATAGGAAAAGCATTGTCTCTGTAGTAGAACTATTTTCCATTATTCAGGTATGATCTCCAACAGCTACTCCGAACACCTATAAAGTTATAGATGAGTACTGCTCATTCTGACAATATCATTAAGAGCCTAGCCCAGCAGCAATCTCCATTTGCTGCCAGCCTGTCATCATGACAAATCTTAACCATCACAACTTGTCGCTCCCAAATTCTGTGTCAGGGCTGTGCCTTATGAGACAGCAAAGAGAGACAAGCAGAGGACATCAACAATGTGTAAGATATTATCCTAGAAATAGTACTGCCACGCCGATGCGCACATTTAGCAGTTGATCCAAATTCCCTCCGCAGTTTTCATACCTGTGCCAAATGCTCGGCCAGACTCCATGAAATCAGTCCATACTGTCATAGAAGACTAACTCACCGGACTTTGACCTGGGGCAACGACCGCACAAATTCAGGGACATCGGCGGGCTTTGCAAATGCTGGATGGGAAACGGATGCTTTCCCGGTGGTAACCAAGCATCAAGCGCCCACAGCTAGTGATCTGGACGGAGATCTCCAATGCTTAGGAAAAAGAAAAGTAGCAAGGACCGAGGAGCGAGCGTGGTGTGGGTGAACTACGTCTCAGGTGTGTATCCTAGGCGTATAACTGACTTGAGTTTGGGTCAGGATTTCCAGGCCGTGTCTTACTCTTTTTGACTTTGTCATTTAAGAACGGTCAAACATGCCTTGAGCCACTACCCCCCGCTAGGGAGCCTTGCTGGCTCGGTCAAACACGACGAACCCATGTTGAGGCCATCACTAGATCTTATCTATTTCTACAGGCAAGGTAAAACAACCGTCC